GACTCTGAGAGGGAGAGAGGACGACTCAGAGAGAGGACGACTCAGAGAGAGGACGACTCGGAGGGAGAGGACGACTCAGAGAGAGAGGACTCAGAGAGAGGACGACTCAGAGAGAGAGGAGGCGACTCAGAGAGAGGAAGAGGACGACTCAGAGGGAGAGGACGACTCGGAGGGAGAGGACGACTCAGAGAGAGAGGGCTCAGAGAGAGGACGACTCAGAGAGAGAGGACGACTCAGAGAGAGAGGACGACTCAGAATGGGAGGGACGACTCTGAGAGGGAGAGAGGACGACTCAGAGAGAGAGGACTCAGAGAGAGAGGACGACTCAGAGAGAGAGGACGACTCAGAGAGAAGACGACTCAGAGAGAGAGCACGACTCAGAGAGAAGACGACTCAGAAAGAGGACGACTAAGAGAGAGGACGACTCAGAGAGAGAGGACGACTCAGAGAGAGGACGACTTAGAGAGAGAGGGAGGACGACTCAGAATGTGAGAGGACGACTCTGAGAGGGAGAGAGGACGACTCGGAGGGGTGAGGAGGAACTACAAACGAGCAGGGAAAGGCAGCAGCCACCACGTTCCCTCTCCAAGCTCTGCGGTCCTCGATATAGATATAGATCATGTCGTTTGGTTTCTCCAATGTAACTACTACCACACAGGCAACTTAGTTTGTGTTTATTCAAGATCTCCAAAATCTTGAATAAACACAAGATCCAGGTCCGATTCAACACATTACATAAAATCCGTGATCTGGTTCCGTCTGTAAAAGATGTGATTCCGGACATACAGTACCCTGGTGTCTACAAACTAAGTTGTTTCTGTGGTAGTAGTAACATTGGAGAAACCAAACGACATGTCTCGGACCGCATTCGTGAACACAAAGCAGACCTAAAACACGGTAGGACCAACACCTTGGCCGTGGCAGATCACTGTTATAATTCAGTAGGCTCACATGACATTAACTTCTCCAAGGCAGAGGTTATTTGCAAGCCATCTGGCTACCATGAGAGGTTTCGTTCATGAGGCTATCCACATATACAAACACAGAGACAATTTCAACCGAGAAGATGGATTCTGGCTTAGTAATCATTGGAAGGATTTGATAAACCATTTCGGGTCTTAATTGATTGTTCACGCTTACGGTGGCTTTCAGACCGCATCCATTATTTTCGTCTCCCCCCTTCTCTTTTCCGAACATAGATGGACTCGTCCATCTGAATAACTGCCAAATCGCTCTCCGTGGTGCTAACGTTAAAAAACGCCACTTTTTTCAAATTTTCTTGCTGTGGTTTTCACACCTGATGATGATTGCTTGTGTTGCAGTCAAAACGTCGTGAGAATTTTATTGTTTTATATTTTTATTATTTTATTGTTTCCCTTCTACGTGGTGACTTTACCGAAAGAACCAAGAATATGAATCCCTGCAGTCACGAAAGCTTTAATTCAAAATGCAATGCATACATAATCAGTGTGTTTTTGTTTGCATTGTGACCGCAGGTATTGTGGTTAATGCGAACATGATTCCTCGTAAAAAGGTTTAAGTTTTGTTGCCAGAAAAAAAAGGGTAAAACAAAACTATAATTACGACTGCTCATCCCGAGTTATAAGTGGTCCGAGACTTGCACTGTTTTTTCTACCGTTCGCCTTTTTGGTGTTGCTCTCTGGTCTGACACTGGTGGCCAAACAGTGCCATCAAGAAGGCTGCTGATGTCCCTGGTTTAAACCAAGCTGTTTCAAAGACTGACATATATAACAAAAGCAACGTCCATAATCCACTCCATTAATAACACCGTGGAAGAATTTTATTTATTTTTTGTCCCTGGGTAGTAAGTGTTATTTCCTAATTGCTAATGCCTCAAACGTACAGAAAATGGGCTATTATTCCCCACAAACTTTGCTTTTGTGACCAGGACAGTGATATTTTGAAATGCACCTGTTTTCAATGAGAAAACGTGGTGTGCATTTGTGTCATTCCTTCATATCTAGTCCTGGTCACAAAAGCAAAGTTTGTGGGAAATAACAATAGCCGTTTTCGATACTTTTGAGGCATAAGCAATTAGAAAATAACACTACCCAGGGACAAAAATCGTGTTACATAGCGTTATTATGAGAACATGTTCGTATGTTTTGTCACAAGTACTGTGCATGGTTAATGCAGCCTTGATGCCTTGCAATCGGCAGATCTATTTGGTGTTTCAACGTCTTAACGCAACGTTTTATTGCCAGAAACGGTAAACAATTATTATTTGGGTCTTTCGGTAAAGTAACGTTGATAGGTTCAAATTAATAAACAATAAAATAAACTCAAAACTACGACATTTCGATCACAACACAAGTCGATCGTCATCTTTTTTCCTCCTGATGACGACCGCTTGTGTTGCGAACGAAGCGTCGTAGTTTTTTGTTTATTTCATTTTTATTAATTTGAACCTATATGACCCAAAGATATCTGAATTCCTGCAGCCACGAAAGCTGAACATCTATTTATTGTTTTTCATCATTTTTATGATCCTGCAAAAAAAAAAGTCCCACAGATTTATCGGATCTATTTGTGACAGCCCAAAACAAATTATATGGAGCCTCGAATCTATTCAACGCAAGTGAATGCAGCACAATGCACACCAGTGAAGGATTCTCCTAGGAGCAAAAGTAGCTACATGTGTTGCTACGGGCCCCGCACTTTCAAGGGCCCCGCGCCAAACGCTTTCAAGCTATCAATTCCGGTTCAGTGGTTCTGCACTTGTTCTATTACTATAGTACTATACTACCTTCAACTTTTACGAACGACTGGGTGTTTAAGGTTAGCGATTTGTCGTGTTATCTGGCCGTGTAGCAAATGAAAGAATACAATTACTTTACTATGGAAGTTAAACATGTGTTTTAATATTGTTGTGTTTCTATTTTATTAAGGGCCCATTTTTCACATACGATACTGGCCTCGCACGAGCTTAATGATGCACACGTGTACGCCACGTACAGGCGTTGGGATCTCGAAACGATTACGCATGGGATTCAGTGCATTGGGCGAATTCCCCCTCGAGACTTTAACTTGCGATCGAATCGTCGTTAGCTTGTCCCGATTTTGAACCTGAGCTGAGACGGAGTGGAATCACTTTGGGGCCGTCCATAAATGACGTCACGCGATTTGGGACGATTTTTGATCCCCTCGTCACACGGCGTCACAAAAAGTCAGACCCCCCCCCCCGCAAATATGACGTCACAAAGCTCTGCCCCCCCCCCCTCCCCCCAAAACCATATTTCCATTTTGAAAATAAAACATGCTTCAAATCGCCTTAAACTATTGTCATTGTAGTGCGTATTTAATGTGGCGCTGCACTCTGATGTTGTAGGAGTGTTGTTATAACAATTAGTGTTATAACAATTCTACATTTATATTCTTGGTTCTTTCGGTAAAGTCACGTAGAAGAAAAATAATAAAATAATAAAAATATGTAATAAAATTTGAAAATTTTAAATTTTCTTGCTGTGGTTTTCACACCTGATGATGATTGCTTGTGTTGCAGTCGAAACGTCGTGAGAATTTTATTGTTTTATATTTTTATTATTTTATTGTTTCCCTTCTACGTGGCGACTTTACCGAAAGAACCAAGAATATGAATCCCTGCAGTCACGAAAGCTTTAAATCAATGTAATTCTACATTTATTTAAAAGTTGCGCATTTTGATGTGACGTCACATTTCTCAAACACAGCCCCCTCCCCCTCGTCACACATCGTCACAAATGTCTGACACCCCACCCCCCACCATAGGTGCGTGACGTCATTTATGGGCGGCCCCTTTGGCGATATCCATCGAATCACGAATCGACTTTGCGCCCATTCCAATGGCCTTTTTAAATGGACAGTTTTCAAGCCTGTGTCAGTGCCCGACCTTATTACGGACCAATTAACACCTTAGCGGTCACCCCGTGCCCATTATATATCTCAACGTTCATCCTACAAAGTCTCAGCACGCGCAAGGGAGAAACACACACACACATCGACACAACAAAGTTTACTCAAATTTATGCAAAATGTATGCAAAATGTATGCAAAATTTATGCAAACCAACACACCTGAAGACGACCGTTTGAGTTATAGTCGAAACGTCGTGAGAATTTTTTTATTGTTTTATATATATTTTATTATTTTGTTGTTTCCCTTCAACGTGACTTTACCGAAAAAACTAAGAATATGAATTACTGCAGTCACGAAAGCTTTAAATCAAAATTTAAAGTTTACTCAAGTTTCCTGTGCAAAAATACCAGTATGCAAATCAGATATCGACACCCACAGCCCCCTCCCCCAACTCATCCTCCCCACAGCAGTTGCAACAAATCGATTTATTAATCGATTTATAAATCGCACTATTGCTCGGAATCTATCACAATCGTTTCGACAAACTCAACCACAACGGAGGAATCGATTCACCGTCACGACAAACGGCTTCGTTCGATTCATCGCGTGCATTAAAACCCGCAGACCCGAGCCGAATCGATTCCCCGCCCCCCCCACCTCCCACGTCCACGTGCATCCATCGACGGGCATCGAATCGAATGGATTCGGATTATTAACTGAAAGTCGCGAATCGGAATCGACCGCGGCCCCAGCGAGCCATGGGGCCTAAGGCGCGCGCCTCCCGCGGCACCGCGGGCGACCGCGGCTGGGCCTGGGTCGTGAGCGTGGGGCCCGAGGCCGTGGGGCCCGCGCACCTGCACCTCGCCTACCGCCTCGCGCTGCCGCCCTGCGCCTCGGGCGGCCCCCGGTGAGGAGAGGCCTCCGCTAGGGCTGTCCCCTCACCAATGGTCACACCCCCCCCACTCCCCCTCTCTCTCCCCTCCTCGTCACCCGGGAACTTCTCACGCTTATCCCCTCGTACCCCCCCCCCTCCTCACATCCCCTCACTCATCCTTATCCCCAATGCCCTAGCCCCCCACCCCATAATCCCGATACGGGAACTCCTAATCCTATTGCCAACCCCCGACCGCCCCCCATCCCCCCCCATCCACAAACTCCGATACAGTAACCCCGAATCCTACTGTTCGTGTATCGCCTCGCTAGTACCTAAATCTAAACACGAGGACCTCTCATTATGTATCCTCCCGCTTGCTCTTTAACCCAGGTTGCCCTCGTGCAGAGACCCATTTTATAACCCCCTTACCCCTATTTCGTATCCCTGGGACCCATATACACGGACCTTTAATGCTACAATACATTACTCCCAACCATAGCTTTGAGTTAGGGACCCCTAACACAGAGAAACCCAATGCTAAATCTGACCCCTTACCCTTAATACAGGGACCCCTAATGCCGGAGTCTTTACATTTTGTGCATCAAGTATCCACAATCTGCTGCCATGGTTGGTGCAGCGGATGCGGCTTTGGGTTGTGACCCCAGACGCTCTGCGGATCTTCCACGTCGTCCCACGAGGTGTTTGTAACTTCTTGTGATCTCCCTTGGGCTCTCCAGGCTTCATTGAATCGTCAGGGTCGAAGTTGCATTGCTGAAGGTTACGCGAGTGGGTTTGCAGGGCTTGCTGCGAGATTTCAAGCGGCGGCGGTGGTGGTGGTGGTGAGGGACGCTGCCGAGGTCCTCGTGGTGATTTGGGATGACGCACGCTTCCCAAGGTTCGCTGAACTTTACCGGAGGGTTGCGGCGACTTCCCGGAGGGGCCCACTGTTGCGTGGACTCCCCTTCCAGACGTGTGCCCACGACTCTGGTGCCCTGACTCATGTAACCCTGTGAGACGCCCTCCGTCCTCTGCGTTCCCAGGAGGAACTGCAAGGGGAACCCCAACTGCCTGGTGGGGCTGGGCGAGCAAGCGTGGCTGGGCGACCTCAATGAGGAGGCCTTCCACCAGGTGGACGATCCAGATACGGAACGCCGCGCCAAGGTGCCCACCTCCTCCCAAGTCGCGCAGCCTCCGTGCCCACCGCTGCCCGTGCCCACCGTGCCCACCCCTCCCCCTAGTTACCCACTCGCTGCGTCCTCATGTCCACCATGTACCTGAGTCCCCTGCTTACCTGTATCCAACACTCCCCATGTCCTCCACTCCCCATATGCCTTCCAAATCTACCACTCCCTGCGTCCACAGCTCACCCAAGTTACACCCACTCATCTCCATCTCTCCAGAGCACCTCCTGCGTGCTTGACAAGACAATAGTTGCTCATCCACCCTCCGCCTCTTCCCCCACTTGCAATTGTCCACCACCCCAACAGAACTCGTTCGTGGGGCTCAAGAACCTGGGGGCGACGTGCTACGTGAACACTTTCCTGCAGGTGTGGTTCCACAACCACCGCTTCCGCCAGTTGCTCTACCTCTACCGCCCAGACTCCCCCTCCACCCACGCGGGGACGACTACCTCCTGCTCCACCACCACCGCCGCCACCGCCACCAGCATCACCACCAAGGATGGGGCGACTACGGATAGTGAAACCACCGACAGGACGACAATCACTTCCTCCGCCTCCACGATGCCCCAAGGCGCCACAGACTCCAGCAACCCGGCAGGTGACAGCAGTTTGAGCGGTGGACACCTGTGGCTGTACGAGTAAGTGGTGGACACGCGTGTTTCTCTGAGTAGTGGACGCCTTTGGCTGTATGAGTGAGTGATGAACCCAACTCTTGTAGGTACGAACCCAGTCTTTGAGTCCTGGCCTGAGTGCTCCATGCATACGTGCATGGATGACGTAAAAACCTCGCAATATTTGTTTGTTTACGGAGGTATTTAACGAGCAGCTGGGTAACTGTCAGGGTAAAATTTATTTGCTTGTTTGCAAGAAGTAATCTTAGTTCTGCTTTGTCGCCCCCAAATTTTGGGTGATAATGCTCTGATTAAATGTACCGGTTTCCTCCACGCTGAGTTTCGAATAGCAGCGAGACTTGACACAGGAGTTTTGTTTATATCGGATCAACTTGGCGAGAGTTATCATGACGCCACACTACTAACAGATGGACGGACTAATGCATCGACGCTTTCAACCTTAGTTGTATCTGAGTGGGTGAGCAACTGTATGTATGTGTAGTGAGTTCAGACGTAGACGTGGAGGCAACACATCTATTCAAATACAACACACGGGGTAACTTTCCCCTAACAGAATAACAACCTATGGGGGTGACCACCAGGCTAACTACACTAGTTACCACGTGACTGGTGTAGTTAGCCTGTTGGTGATCACCTTCCAGAATCCTCGGGAAGGATCTGGATGCTAACCACGTGACCACCCCTAGCCCCCGCTTGGGCCCCTTTGTAGACTAAACTGGTCACGTGTCCTCTCGGGTCAACCAGAGTGCCACGGCCTTTAGTAACCTCATTCCTACGGCCAGCACTCCCACACTTATTGTCCTGTAGGGCTGGCACTGCACGCCAAGCGTGGTGGCATCCAGCGCATCAATCAGCGCTCACCGGGCCCCTCTAGGGCCGGTACCCTCTAGGGCCGGAACCACACCCACACCGCTGTGGTGTCCACGATGTCGTTACACCGCATGCCGTGACTCTCTAGGGCTGGCACTGCACAGTGACATCCCGCGATGTCACTACATATGTATGCATGGGGAGTGATGTCACTACACATGTGTGCATGGGGAGCGATGTCACTACACATGTATGCATGGGGAGCGATGTCACTACACATGTGTGCATGGGGAGCGATGTCACTACACATGTGTGCATGGGGAGTGATGTCACTACACATGTATGCATGGGGAGTGATGTCACTACACATGTATGCATGGGGAGCGATGTCACTACACGTGTATGCACGGGGAGCGGTAGCGTTGGGGTTAGCACGCTGTGCTATGAACCCGGCCACCCGAGTTCGATTCACGGCCAACACCAGTGACGATTATTTGATCCAGTTATTGGCCTCCCCGAGGTCGAGTCGACCTCATATAAGTTCTTGGTGCTGTGTGTAAACATCGCCACTAGGGAGACAAAGGCAGCCTGGCGTGGTGCTGGCCACCCACCCCCTCGTGTGCCGTGCCGGTCTTCATAGGTCCTCGCAAACAGCACTTGCCCCTACAGTCTGTTAAGGCTATACGGGGGATCTTTGTATTTGTACAATACGAGTGTGCGGTGTGTGTATGAGATTTAAGGGCGGTAGGGTGGTGGCGGAGTGGTGACACTCCAGCCTTTCTGAATGGCGTTTCGATGTTCTCCTCTGTTTTACATGGGTTTCCTCTGGGTGCTCTGGTGTCCTCTTATAGTAAAGTAAAACGAAACTATACAATGTAACTGGTAATAGCCAAACATTCAGCTCGGTCGACTCAGCCTCACACGAGTACCTGCTGCTATGCCTGAACATCGCCACTTTGGAGGCAAAGGCGGTCAGGCATGGTGGTGTTGGCCTCCCACCACCTCGCGTGCCTTGCCAGCCTTTCATGGGTGCTACTCGCTAACAGCACTTGCCCCGACAGGCTGCTCAGGGTAACCGGGGGACCTGTGTCACCGTGCGTGCGTGCAGGACAGGAGCAGGGCGGCGTGTGCGAGCACCTGCAGCTGCTCTTTGCGCTGTTGCAGGAGAGCGAACGCCGCTACCTCGATCCCTCGCCCTTCATCCGTGCCCTCGGACTCGACACCGCCCAGCAGCAGGTGGGGGGGGGGGGGGGGGGGGGGGGCAGTGCCGGGAGGGGCGTGGGGGCTACCCCCCCGGGGTGGGGGGGGGGGGCCCCTTGACGCGCACGGAGCGGAGCCGCATGCGGGGCGGCAGACGGAGCACGGCGCTGGTGCCCAGCACACGGCGCAGAGAAGGAGGCAGAGCGTGGTTGGTTGGCTTGGGCCTTGGTGCCAAGAATACAAATTGGTCCCACTTGCACCTAAGCTCCCCCTCCACCCCATCCCCCGCTCCGACCGTGATGGGCCACCGGTGCAGTCGCACGGCCCTGCACGCTCGATAGCGGTGCCACCTGGCACCTCGCGGCGCACGGCACAGCCCGCTTCACGGCAGCACCAAGCCAGCGCCCGACCTCTAGACGTGTCACCTCACCTGCCCCCTGCCCCCCCCCCCCACCGTTTCCACCCCAGGACGCGCAGGAATTCTCGAAGCTGCTCATGGCGCTGCTGGAGGACGCCCTGAGCCGGCAGCGCGACTCCCGCGTGCGCGACCTGGTGCAGAGCGAGTTCTGCGGGCAGTACGCGTACGTCACCACGTGAGTTGTGTACGTCACCACGTGAGTTGTGTACGTCACCACGTGAGTTGTGTACGTCACCACGTGAGTTGCGTACGTCACCACGTGAGTTGTGTACGTCACCACGTGAGTTGTGTACGTCACCACGTGAGTTGTGTACGTCACCACGTGAGTTGTGTACGTCACCACGAGAGTTGTGTACGTCACCACGTGAGTTGCGTACGTCACCACGTGAGTTGTGTACGTCACCACGTGAGTTGCGTACGTCACCACGTGAGTTGTGTACGTCACCACGTGAGTTGTGTACGTCACCACGTGAGTTGTGTACGTCACCACGTGAGTTGCGTACGTCACCACGTGAGTTGTGTACGTCACCATGTGAGTTACGTACGTCACCACGTGAGTTGTGTACGTCACCACGTACGTCACCACGTGAGTTGTGTACGTCACCACGTGAGTTGCGTACGTCACCACGTGAGTTACGTACGTCACCACGTGAGTTACGTACGTCACCACGTGAGTTGTGTACGTCACCACGTGAGTTGTGTACGTCACCACGTGAGTTACGTACGTCACCACGTGAGTTGTGTACGTCACCACGTGAGTTGTGTACGTCACCACGTGAGTTGTGTACGTCACCACGTGAGTTGTGTACGTCACCACGTGAGTTACGTGCGTCACCACGTGAGTTGTGTACGTCACCACGTGAGTTACGTGCGTCACCACGTGAGTTACGTACGTCACCATATGAGTTACGTACGTCACCACGTGAGTTGTGTACGTCACCACGTGAGTTGTGTACGTCACCACGTGAGTTACGTGCGTCACCACGTGAGTTACGTGCGTCACCATGTGAGTTGCGTACGTCACCATGTGAGTTACGTGCGTCACCACGTGAGTTACGTGCGTCACCACGTGCGTCACCATGTGAGTTACGCGCGTCACCACGAGAGTTGTGTACGTCACCACGTGAGTTGCGTACGTCACCACGTGAGTTACGTGCGTCACCACGTGAGTTGTGTACGTCACCACGTGAGTTGCGTACGTCACCACGTGAGTTACGTGCGTCACCACGTGCATCACCATGTGAGTTACGCGCGTCACCACGAGAGTTGCGTACGTCACCACGTGCGTCACCACGTGAGTTACGTGCGTTACCACGTGCGTCACCACGTGAGTTACGTGCGTCACCATGTGAGTTACGTACGTCACCACGTGAGTTAAGTGCGTCACCACGTGCGTCACCACGTGCGTTACGTGCGTCACCACGTGCGTCACTACGTGAGTTACGTGCATCAGCACGTGAGTTACGTGCGTCACCACGTGCGTCACCACGTGAGTTACGTGCGTCACCACGTGAGTTATGCGCGTCACCACGGGAGTTACGTAAGTCACCACGTGAGTTACGCGCGTCACCACGTGAGTTACGTGTGTCACCACGTGCGTCACCACCTGAGTTAAGTGCGTCACCACGTGCGTTACGTGCGTCACCACGAGCGTTCGTGCGTCACCACGTGAGTTACGTGCGTCACCACGTGAGTTACGTGCGTCACCACGGGAGTTACGTGCGTCACCACAGGAGTTACGCGCGTCACCACGTGAGTTACGTAAATCACCACGGGAGCTATGTACGTCAAACAGCCAGTAACAAACAGCCCTTTCAAAGTTGAATTGAAGTGCGCGTGTGTGCGCGTCCTTGCGTGCGGTGCCAGGTGCGGTGCGTGTGGGCACGAGTCGAGGCGCCCGGCGCGGTTCCTGGAGCTCGACCTCAACATCCAGGGTCACAAACAGCTGACGGACTGCCTTGATGAGTTCCTCAAGGTGTGCGGCGGTGTTTCTCGATCTGTGTGTTTGCTCTCTGTGTGTAAACATTGCCACTAGGGAGACAAAGGCGGCCGGGCGCGGTGCTGGCCACCTAACCAATTCGTGTTCCGTGCCGGCCTTCATAGGCGCTCGCTAACAGCACTTGCCCCAACAGTCTGTTACAGGCTACACGGGGGATCTTTGGTGCAGCCGTGGTGAGCCTATCTGCGTGTGTGTCAGTGTGTGTGAGGGTGCGCTTGCGGGGTGGTGAGAGTGGAGCGATTAGCGTGCCGCACTACGGACCTGGCGACCCGAATAAAATTCCTGCTCATGACCAATAACAGTGGAGAATGTTTTAACCAGTCCTGGGCTTCCTCCCCGAAGTAGACTCAGCCTCAAATGAGCACCTGGTGCATTATGTAAACATCGCGATTGGGGAGATAAAGACGACCGGGTGTGGTGCTGGTCCACCCACCCCCTCCTTAACCGTTCGGGCTTTTAGAGGTGCTGGCTAACAGCACTTGCCCCAGCAGTGTGTTAAAGGCTATACGTGGGGGTCTTCGTCTTTGTGAGAGTGTGTGGGGGCGGTGACGCAGCGTTCAGTGCGCTGCGCTACGAACCAGGCAACCCGAGTTCGATTCCCACTCGCTGCCATCATCGGTGATGAGTATCTGAACCGGTCCTTGGCCTCTCTCATGTCGATTCGTCCTCACTTGGGTACCTGGTGCGGTGTGTAGTACATCATCACTGGGCAGACAAAGGCCGGCGGGCGTGTTCTTGGCCTCCCACTCCCTTGTGTACTGTGCAGCACTTGCCCCAAAAGTCTGTTATGGCTAGACGGGGGGATCTTCGTCTTTGACTTGCATCCCACTGGGATTTTTGCACACAGCGTTGGTGTACGGTGCTATTTCAGGAATTTTTTTTATGTTTTTTTCCTGGATTTTCCGTTTGCACGGTCACGTAATCACTTTAAAATGTTTTCTTGTTCGTGTTTTAGTTTTTTTGTTTGTTGCGGTTGCACCCGATTCAAGAGCCGAATGGCTCACAGGGCTATACCAACATAAATGGAACTATGGAACGTGTCTGCATGCGACGAGTGCTGCGTATGTCTGTGTGAGAGGATCTTTCGTCACGTGTGGAGCGGTGTGGTAGCACTGGGCTGCAGCGTTGGACACGGTGGGCCACGCCAAGCGTGCTGCGCTGCTGGGCATCGTGTCGTGGTGTGTCGCCTGGTGTGCAGGAGGAGAAGCTGGAGGGAGAGAACCGCTACCTGTGCGGGCGCTGCCAGGTGAAGCAGACGGCGTCGCGCCGCATTCAGCTCCTCGGCCTTCCCCGCACCCTCAACCTGCAGCTCCTGCGCTTTGTGTTCGACCGGTGCGGCTCTACCACACGCGCGCTCGCACATGGGCGCACCTGGTCACACGTGGGCACACCGAAGTACACCACGGCACACCGCAGGGCTGCGCAGTGGTCACGCTTCTTGCGGAGTTTGTAAGTTCTCTCCTCTTCTACGTGGCGTTCCTACGGGTTCTCCGATTTCCTCCCTGGGCTAAAAAAAAAAATGAAAAAAAACTTCAGTGGAACTGGTTCCGGCCAAAACATCCCAGCGCCGAAACATCACACCGCCAGTGACTCAACTGGGATCGCTCACGGCGACACTCGCCAACCTTCGCACACGCGCCACGGACACACGCACGTGACCACACGGAGATCCCCCGAATAGCCTGAACGCACAGTTGGGGACAAGTGCTCTTGGCGAGCACACGAGGTGGGTGGGTGACCAGCACCGGTGCATGTCCACACCTGTACACGGGCTGGCGCACCTGCACGCGACTGCTCGTGCCAGAGCGTGTGTTCATGGGTGGCTGTGTGTGCAGGCACAGACGCACACAGTGTAGCGGTTAGCGCGCTGCACTACGGACCCGGTGACCCGAGTTCGATTCCCGCTCGCGGCCAACACCGGTGACGATTATCTGATATTGGTCCTGGGTCTCCGCTAGGACGACTCGGCCTCACAAATATGAGGATCTGGTGCGGTGTGTGAACATCGTCACTGGGGAGACAAAGGCGGCCGGGCGTGGTGTTGGCTACCCCACCCCCTCGTGTGCCATGTCGGCCTTTTGCGGTGCTCGCTAACAACACTTGCCCCAACCGACTGTTACAGGCTATACGAGGGATCTTTGTCTTTGTGCAGGCAAACCGGGCACAAGAAGAAGCTCAACTCGTACCTGAGCTTCCCGGAGACGCTGGACATGAGGCCATACCTGCAGCATGGCAGTGAGGAGGCCCCCGACACACACACACACACACACAAAAACAGCCGCCATTCGCCATTAATTGACAGTCATGTGACCACAGCGCTTGCGGCAGGCTAGGTGCACTTTTAGGTCACACGAAGTGTGGAAGGCTCTCGCTGCTGGCAGGAGGTCATGGGACAGCTCCAGGTGTCATGGGTTCACTGACTGAGATGACTGGCAGGAGACGCACCAGCTGTACCCCCCACTGTGCCAACTCGCTGCACTTTATCCGCCCGGCGCTCCGCTCGTTGTTGCGAGCGTCGCTCCTCTGCCCTTGCTGTAGAGCGACTGCCTCGCAGCTACCCAGTGGCGTCCATCATGAGCCTCCACACAATAACAAAGGCAAAGATTCCCCGTATAGCCTGAACAGACTTCTGGAGCGAGTACCGTTCGCGAGTAAGCACCTATGAAGGCCGGCACGGCACACGAGGGGGTGGGTGGCCAGCACCACGTCCGGCTACCTTTGCGTCCGCGGTGGCGATGTTTACACATTGCGCCAGGTACTGATTTAAGGCTGGGTCGACCTAGGGGATGCCCAGGACCGGTTCGGATAATCGTCGCAGGTGTTGGTGGCCGTGGTTGCGGGAATCTCACTCGGGGTCTCTGCTGGGTTCGTAGAGCAGCGCGCTAACGGCCACGCTACGGCTTCCCGCAGGCGAGCACGCACGCACGCACGCACGCACACGCCCCGCTCTACCCAGCCACCCTCACGGCCGCGCTGTCTCCCGCCGCGTGTGGACCCTCGTGCCCAGGCGGCGAGGGTGAGTACGAGCTGAGCGCGGTGCTCATCCACCGCGGGGTCAGCGCCTACTCGGGCCACTACATCGCGCACATCCGCGACGCGCGCACGGGCGAGTGGCACAAGTTCAACGACGACGAGATCGAGCGCGTCGAAGGCAGGCACCTGCTGCTGGGCGCCGAGGACGACCTCGGTAGGGACCCCGCCCCCCCCCGCCCCTTTCCGTAGGACCCCGAGGACCCCGGCGGCTCCAGGACCCTGCCGTGTGTGTGTGCGCGCGTGTGTGCGTGTGTGAGTATCTGGCGCGGTGTGTAAACGTTGGCACTGGGGATACAAAGGCGGCCGGGTGTGATGTTGGCCACCCCACCCCCTCGTGTGCCGTATCGGTGCTGCTCGCGAACGGCACTTCCCACAAGGCTATAGGGGGTGGATTTTTGCCTTTGGTACAGTTTACGGTTCCGCTTGCTGGTTTGGCTCGGATGTCCGACGTTTCGGCGGGTGGTAGGGGAGGGGGCTGATAGAGGAGCTCCCAGCAAAACAACGCCGACGGCACAACCCGGAAACTCGACCGAGAGCGCTCTCGTGACGAAGCGCCCTCTGCAAATTCGGCACTTCAGAGGCCGAGAACTGTGTCCATGCATGAGGCCGTCGTATGCAGGCCGTGGTGGTGGGATTCGGAGATGGCATTATAGCAAGTGTGTGAGCGTTAACTATATATAGTCAACGGTGCAGGCGTGGTGGGACGGGTGGGAGGCCTTTTATCCCGCAGCAGTGTGCTGCTGTCGCCGCCGCCGCTGAAGACGGTGATGATCCTCTTTGTGTGGCTGATGTTAAAGAACCAGATAATGGCGTCCATCGCTGTGATGTTGCCTTCCTCGTATTCCTGCTTCGGGCATGGAGTCGGCATATGATCCACGGTTTACGACAAAGACGACGACGATTATTATCCAAGAGTCGTGGTTAAACTGGGCCCCGCCAGGGGAACGTGCAAAGTCCACCCCTGACGTGGGTGTGACGTGGTTGCCCGTCTGCCCTCCCATCCCCCCGCCCCCGCCCCACAGAGCCGTCTCGCTCGGTGGGGCGGAGACCCAAGTGCGTGCGCGGAGTTCACTCGTCACGCAACGCGTACTCGCTGGTGTACACCGTGCGCGGAGAGCCCACGCCCACCGCACAGGACACCACGCTGCCCGGTGTGAACTCAATCTCGCTCGCTCGCTCATAAATTCACTCGCTCACTTATAAACTCACTCGCTCACTCGTAACTCACGCGCGCTCGCTCTCACGTGCTCGGTCGCACACTCACTCGCACGCACTCGGTCCCACACTCATTGGCGCACGCACGCTTACACGCTCGTGCACACACACGGTCGCACACTCACTCGTGCGCGCTCGCTTGCGCTGACGCTCATCTGCCCGCACGGCTGCACGTTGGTGGTGGTGGGGGGGGATTGCTCGTGTCTCCGCGTCAGAGTGGCTGGCGGAGAAGGTTCGGGCAGACAACCGCGCGTTTGAGGAGTGGTGCGAGGAAATGAGCGCCATGCGGCAGCAGAGCATTGCCGAGGGTCGCGCCAAACACTCGGAGGTGCGCAGCCTCTACGCCCTGCTGCCGGCGGACAACGGTGAGGCCGGGAGGGTGACTTCGCCCGGCAACGCAGCACCCCGCTACGCCACTACACCCCGCTACGCCACTACACGCCACTACACCACTACACCCCGCTACACCCCGCTACGCCACTACACCCCGCTACGCCACTACACGCCGCTACACCACTACACCCCGCTACACCCCGCTACACCACTACACCCCGCTACGCCACTACACCCCGCTACGCCACTACACCCCGCTACACCCCGCTACGCCACTACACCCCGCTACGCCACTACACCCCGCTACACCACTACACCCCGCTACGCCACTACACCCCGCTACACCCCGCTACGCCACTACACCCCGCTACGCCACTACACCCCGCTACACCCCGCTACGCCACTACACCCCGCTACGCCACTACACGCCGCTACACCCCGCTACACCCCGCTACACCACTACACCCCGCTACGCCACTACACCCCGCTACGCCACTACACCCCGCTACGCCACTACACCCCGCTACGCCACTACACCCCGCTACACCCCGCTACGCCACTACACCCCGCTACGCCACTACACCCCGCTACACCACTACACCCCGCTACGCCACTACACCCCGCTACACCCCGCTACGTCACTACACCCCGCTACGCCACTACACCCCGCTACACCACTACACTACACCCTGCTACGCCACTACACCCCGCTACGCCACTACACCCCGCTACACCCCGCTACACCACTACACCCCGCTACACCCCGCTACGCCACTACACCCCGCTACGCCACTACACCCCGCTATGCCACTACACCCTGCTACACCCTGCTACACCCCGCTACACCACTACACCCTGCTACACCCTGCTACACCCCGCTACACCACTACACCCCGCTACACCCCGCTACGCCACTACACCCCGCTACGCCACTACACCCCGCTACGCCACTACACCCCGCTACGCCACTACACCCCGCTACGCCACTACACCCCGCTACACCACTACACCCCACTACGCCACTACACCCCGCTACACCCCGCTACACCCCGCTACACCACTACACCCCGCTACACCACTACACCCCACTACGCCACTACACCCCGCTACACCACTACACCCCACTACGCCACTACACCCCGCTACACCCCGCTACACCACTACACCCCGCTACACCACTACACCCCGCTACGCCACTACACCCCGCTACGCCACTACACCCCACTACACCACTACACCCTGCTACACCACTACACCCCGCCACGCCACTACACCCCGCTACACCACTACACCCCGCTACACCACTACACCCCGCTACACCACTACACCCCACTACACCCACTACGCCACTACACCCCGCTACACCCCGCTACACCCCGCTACGCCACTACACCCCGCTACACCACTACACCCTGCTACACCCCACTACACCACTACATTTAGCAGGAATCTAACTCTGGCCAACCGGGTTCGTAGCGCAGCGGGCTAACCACTGCACCGCCGCTCCCAATACACCACTAAACGCCAACACCACTGCACAACACCATTACACAAACAATACGCCGCTACGCATACACCACTGCACCCCACCGCCCAACTAATGCTCCACATTCCGTGCCCATGGTTTCCCCTGTGCGCCCACATCCCCTTCTGTCGCACCCCCCCGCCCCCCGTGCCCCCCCACACCGTGCCCCCCCCCCCCCCCGCACGCACGCAGCGAGCGAGTTTGAGTTTGTGGGGACGGCGTGGCTGCGGCAGTGGCTGACGGACAGCGCGTGCGTGCGTGCGCTGGACAACGCCGCGTTCGTGTGCACGCACGGCGCCCTCTCGCCGCACCACGTGGGCAGCGTCAAGAGGATCAGCCGTGGCGCCGCCAACGCCCTGTACCACAAGTACGGCGGCGGCCCGCGACTCACTGGTACGCACGCGCGCGTGCACGTGTCCACGCGCGCGCACGTGTCCGTGTGTGTACCTGTGCCTCGTAGGTGCTCGCTGACGGCACTTGGCCCAGCAGTCGGTTAAGGCTATACAGGGGTATCTTTGGCTTTGTGCCTGTGCCGGTAGTGTAGCGGTTAGCGCTACGCTGCCCTACGAACCCGGCGTCCCAAGTTCGATTCCCGCTCACGGCCAACACCAGTGACGATTATCTGAATCGGTCATGGGCCTCCCCGAGGTCGACTCAGCCTTAAATGAGTACCTGGTGCGGTGTGTAAGACAAAGGCCGGCCGGGCGTGGTGCTGGCCACCCACCCTCTTTTGTGCCGTGTCGGCCTTCATAGGTGCTCGTTTAACAGCACTTGCTCCTACAGGCTTGTACCTGTGCGCTACTCTGTATAACGCCTGTGACCCCGTGTGTTACTGTGTACACCGTGTGTCTCCTTGTGTTACTGTGCAAGCCTTGTGTTTACCGTTGGTGTCCGTGCATGTCCCCACATGTACACGCGTGTTACTGTGTATACTGTGTGTATTCTTGTGTTACCGTGCACACCGTGTGTTACCGTGCACACTGTGTGTTACCGTGCACACCGTGTGTTACCGTGCACACCGTGTTACCGTGCACACCGTTTGTTACCGTGCACACCGTGTGTTACCGTGCACCACCGTGTGTTACCGTGCACCACCGTGTGTTACCGTGCACACCGTGTGTTACCGTGCACACCGTGTGTTACCGTGCACACCGTGTGTTACCGTGCACACCGTGTGTTACCGTGCACACCGTGTGTTACCGTGCACACCGTGTGTCCGTGCACACTGTGTGTTACCGTGCACACCGTGTGTTACCGTGCACATTGTGTGTTACCGTGCACCACCGTGTGTTACCGTGCACACCGTGTGTTACCGTGCACACCGTGTCTTACCGTGCACACCGTGTGTCCGTGCACACTGTGTGTTACCGTGCACCACCGTGTGTTACCGTGCACCACCGTGTGTTACCGTGCACACCGTGTGTTACCGTGCACCGCCGTGTGTTACCGTGCACACCGTGTGTTACCGTGCACCACCGTGTGTGCGGCACCAGAAGCGTCGCTGTGCCGTGACTGTGTGGTGGAGCGCTGCCGGGTGCTGCAGCTCAAGAGCCGACTCAGCGACGACTACCGCACCGTCAGCACACTGCTCAAGAGCTCCCTGCCTCCCGGGTGCGTGCTCGCCTCTGCGTACCCGTGCGTGCGTGCGCACACGCACGCTGCATACCTACGTGCACTTACGCACCCTCGGTATGCCGGTGGAAGGCGAGTGTATTTGTTTACTCAGTTTATGGTGTGTGTGTACTCTTTCGCACCGTACGTAGCCAACCGTGCTAATCGGAGGTGCGGAGGAAGGACAACAAGCTTAAACACAAAAAGCAGTTCTTAAAGAAATTTGTTTTCAATCTAGATTGAAAACGGTGTCCGTGTATTCTCATAGTGTGTGTACTTTGTTTGTGTTTAATCATGGATTGTACGTGTAGTACACACACGGGAATGTGTGTGTTCTCGCAGCGGGTGTTGTTGCGGTTGTGCGATCGAAGTTTCAGGGCCATACGAGCGATTTGTGCGATGGTGCGTTTGCGCGCACGCGTTCGATTGCTCCTGGCGCGCAGCGAGGCATTCTGGGTGGGCAAGGTGTCCCTGCGGAGCTGGCGGCTGCTCGTGATTGGTCAGTTCGAGGACAAGGAGGAGGAGTCCAAGCCGAGCAACGGGGGCGGGGAGCGGAGCAGCGACGAGGCGGAGCCGGAGCCGGCGGAGAGCGGTGAGCGTCGCCCCCACCCATCGCCACGGCCACTCGCGGCCACGGGCGGTGGTAACGCTTACCTCCATGGTAACATCGCTTGCATGTAACGTGTATCTTCGTCCGTTTACATTTTAGTATTTACACAGTACATCGGTCACCCCGTGTACTGTTTGTTTAATGCTTCGGTAACCTAGTTGCATAATTGTGTTATCGACTGTACCTCTCTGGCCTCTGTATGCACTGTGATGAACGGCCGTTGCCCCCAATCGTTTTTACTTAGTGCCCTTCATTGCAAGGCCCGCGGGCCACTGGCAGCCCCTGGTGGCCTTTAGTGCGGCTGCTGACGGTACGCCCCCCCCCCCCCCAACAATACACAAAGAGTGAAAACACCCCCCACCATCATCATCAACGTGCTGCTGTCAAACCCCAACGGTTTCAAATATTGTGTGTCGCGGCTCTCGCACCGGTGATGTCTTATCGGCGAAAGTGCCCCCCCCCCACCTCTGAAAATTAGTGAAGAACACTGCCTTCAGACCACACACACATACACACATACACACCTTGACGATCGTGTTGACTTGGTTTTTGTTATTTGTGCTCGCGCAACCTCTGCCAGCGCAGAATCGCCAAATCCATGCGTGTCCGATCGGTCTAAAAGTAGCCTGAGACGGTACATTAATTGTAATTCAACGTCGATTTACGTCTGCGCGATATTCTCTATTTCTCGAGCGTCAACGCGGTTGTTTCTGCTCCGATTTATATTTGCTTCATTTGCCGAAAACTTTACCTGGTTTCGTTTCGCCTGTGTCATTTTGGTGACCCGGGCCGCCTGTTGCAAATGAGACTCCGTTCCTTGTCTCTCTTGAGTTCTCAACCTGGTTCGGCAAAATGAATGTGGCAATCGCGCATCACAGCGGGCGGAACCCGAAGTTCGATTCCCGACTCGGGACGCCTTTACTTGCGGAGTTCGTATCTCCCTCCTCCTGTTCTGCATGGGATTCCTCTGGGATCGCCGGTTTCCTCCCATAGCCCAAATAAACCCCATAAGTTGTAACCCATAACGGCCAAAACAACATCCCGGTTTAACACCACGTGGTGGGGCTTCCACGACGAATATTATCCACAATAGAGGGCTTTTGAGTTAGATCGCGTGAATACCAATGTGTCGTTAAACCCGCCACCACCCTACACAGCCAGTTGGTAAGGTTTGTCACGTAAACGTTGGCATGTTCTGTGTCGGGTGGTGGCGGCTTTAAAGACACATTTTTATTTACGCGATCTAACCCCAAAAAAACCTCTACCTACTGCTGACAAAGCACCGGCAAATTCGGATTACGCATGGCAACATCGTCACCCACCCCTCCACCGCCACCCCCCACCTTCTGCGAAAACTTGGCAGGACCCTCCTGGAAAAGAGTATTGAGACTCGGCGAGGCTTTCCCGGGTAAACGATCGTAATAAATTATCAATAATATTGGGGCAACGTGGACAGGGTGGGGGGCCCTATTCGTGGCTTGTACCGACACCCACCTCCCCCCCCCCCCCTCCACCAGTTCCCGCAGGCGCGAGGACGGCCCGGTCGTCTGCGGAGGAGGACGGTGGCTTCAACGACGAGGTCTTGTGCCCACACGGTGAGGGTGGCCGCTCCGGGCAGCGCGTCCAGCCGCTCGTCCCCACCTCCGTGTGTCTGCGCGTGCGTGTGTGATGCCGTGCGCGCGTGTCCTCACGTGCGTGTGTTTGTGTGCACGGGTGTCTGCTCTGCGGGGAGCGGTGGTGCAGCGGTTAGCGCTACGCTGCGCCACGAACCCGGCGACCCGAGTTCGATTCCCGCTCGCGGCCAACGCCAGTGACTATTATCTGAACCGGTGCTGGGCCTCCCGTAGGTTTATTCAGCCTCAAATGAGTACGTGGCGCGGTGTGTAAACATCGCTGCTGGGGAGACAAAAAGCGGCCGGGCGTCGTGCTGGCCACCCACCCCCTCGTGTGCCGTGCCGGCCTCCATAGGTGCTCGCTAACAGCACTTGCTCTAACAGTCTGTTAAAAGGCTATATAGGGGATCTTTGTATTATTCCTATGTGTATATACTCATGTGTGTCTGTGTACACACACACACCCAGGCACACATGGGAGTGTCGCAGTTGGCGCATTGTGCTATGTACCCGACAGTCCAAGTTCGATTCTCGCTCTCTACCAATGGCAGTGACGATTATTTGAACCGGTCCTGGGCCTCCCCTAGGTCTACTCAGCCTTAAACGAGTACCTGGTGCGGTGTGGAAACATCGACAATGGTGAGACAAAGGCGACCGGGCGTGCTGCTGGGCAGACTTCGTGTGCCTTGCCGGCCTTCATAGGTGCTGCTCGCGAGCAGCACTTGCCCCAACAGCCCATGAAAGGCTGTACGGGGGGATCTTTGTCTTTACCTTTGTACCAGGAGGGTTGAGCACGCGGGAGGGCGAGCGCCGCCTCGTCTCGGCCGAGGTTTGGCACAAACTGCGCGGTTACTTCCCCTCGGCGCCGGAGTTCCGCAGCGACGCGCAGCCTTGCGCGCAGTGCCAGGTGCGGCACAACCACAACGCAACCACGATACAACCACGGCACAACCACGCCAGTAGCGCAACCGCCACCGGCGACGCGCAGCCTTGCGCGCAGTGCCAGGTGCGGCACAACCACAGCGCAACCACGATACAGCTGACGGTTGTTGCCGTGGTTACAGCGGCTGGAGCGGGAGGGGGAAGAGACGGGGGAGATGCAGCGCATGATCGCTACGGAGCAGAAGGGGGCGCTCACCGCGCTCTTCCAGGACAAGGGGCGGCCGACGCTGCAGCCCTGGCCTCAGGTACGCGGGGGGAGACGCTGTGGGAGATGCGGGGGAGACACGAGAAGATGCGGCGAGAATGGTGACACGTTGAAATGCGAGGAGACGCAAGGAGATATGGGGAGACACGGGGAGATAGGACGAGACGCAGGGAGACGCGGGGAGAAAGAGATGCGCGGGACACGTGAGGAGAAGCGGGGAGACACAGATGTGGAGAATCACGGGGAGATATGCAATGCAGGGAGACATGGGGAGATGCAGGGGAGACACGAGGTTAATGGGGTTACATAGGGAGGCACGGGAATTAACGGACAGACAGAGAGAGACGCGGAGAGACACAGGCAGCATGGAGTAATGTGGCGCAGCACACTATGGCACAGGAGAGCATGGGCAGCAGAGATTGAGAGTTCACACGGCTCGCTATACGTGCATGTGTGTGTGCGTGTACACCCGTGTGTGTAATGTGCGTTTGTGCTTTTATGTATGTATGTGTGCGTGTGTGCAGGACACGGAAACGCTTTATGTGGTCTCTCAGTACTTTCTGGATGAGTGGAGGAAGTTCATTAGGTGAGCGAGTCTGGGTGAGGAGCGGTGGTTAGGGCACTGCGCTACGAACCCGGCGACCTGAGTTCCATTCCCGCTCATGGCCACCACCAGTGACGATTGTCTGCGTCGGTCCTGCGCCTCCCAAAGTCGACTTTAAATGAGTGCTCTGGTGCGGTGTGTTGACAAGAGCACAGGGGAGACAAAGGCACCCGGACGCAGTTATTTGCCACACCCTTTCATAGGCGCGCTCTGCCGGCCTTCATAGGCGCTTCGCACTAACAGCACTTACCCCAACAGTCTGTTGAGGCTATACAGGGGGAACCTTTGTCTTTGTGCGCGCGTGTGTCCCAGGCGCCCGACGCGTGCCTCGCCCGTGTTCTCAGTGGGGAACTCCACGCTGCTCTGTCCTCACAGCGGACTCATGTTCACCCCCGACTCTGTCTCCCATGAGGACGCCTCGCTGTGAGTCGCGGGACATGGGCGACACGGGGGACACGGTGACATGGGGACACGGCGACAGAAACGGAGACACGGAGACACAGAGAAATAAGGACAGGGGGCAGAGACATGGGGATAAGGAGACATGGCCACACGGAGACACGGTGACAGACACGGAGACAGAAAGACCTGGGGATATGGGGCAGTGACATGGAGACACGGGGACACGGACACTTGTGAGTCACGGGGACAGGGGGAAACACGGAGGCATGAGGACATGGGCACATGTCGACACGGAGACACTGTGACAGACACGGAGACACCGAGACCTGGGGACACGGGGCAGAGACGTGGGGGCATGGTAACGCGGTGTGTGGCCCTTGCTGTGCAGGCTGGCGCTGGTGTGGCCGCCCGAGTGGGATGTGATCAGCCGCTCGTTCCAGGTGGACCTCGCCATCACCATCACCCGGCGGCCATGTGGGGAAGGGAGCAGCGAAGCCGCGAGCGCGTACATCACACAGCCAGGTACGGACACTTATCAGCGCTATGCGTGTGCGTGTGTGACGCGCAATTGCTGTGTATGTACAGCGAGGGAAACAAGTATTTGATCCCCTGCTGATTTTGTACGTTTGCCCACTGACAAAGAAACGATCAGTCTATCATTTTAATGGTAGGTTTATTTGAACAGTGAGTGAATAACAACAACAAAATCCAGAAAAACGCCCAAAATGTTATAAATTGATTTGCATTTTAATGAGGGAAATAAGTATTTGACCCCCTCTCAATCAGAAAGATTTCTGGCTGCCAGGTGTCTTTTATACAGGTAACGAGCTGAGATTAGGAGCACACTCTTAAAGGGAGTGCTCCTAATCTCAGCTTGTTACCTGTGTAGTGTTGCTCCGGAGACACTTCGTAGGGGGGGCACGTCTTTATTATCCACACTTACCCTAACCACTATACATCAATTCTTCATGCAGCTGATCTTGAGGACCTCTTCCACTTGGTATATTATACTCCTCCTGTGTAGCGTGCCTAACCCGACTACGCTCCAGGTCCTCCGGCTATAATATACTATGTGAGACTACCTGACCTGACCCAGCCAAGGTACAGGTCCAACACTGACCTCACAGAGCTTCGGCCCTTAAAAGGACGGCGAAGCTAGGGGTTCAGTCCTACTCTAGCAGGTCTTCTTTCTTCAACTGGGCATCTTCAACTGCTTCCGTCTCCAACTGCTTCGGTTTTTAAACTGCCTGGACCTCTCCAGAGGTTCGCCTTATATCCGTTTCTCAGCCGAGGTGCGGACCTCAGTGTGGGATGTGGGTGACCCCACTGAGGTCCGCATGTCTGCCGTTGCAGGTCAGTGCAGCCGCAGCCCCCCAGCCTTTGGGAGTGTTTGCGAGGGATCGTATAATCGCTCGCAGCCCCCCAACTGCTTCAGGGCTGCCTGTCATTGCCTGCAAGTGCAGCCCATCCATGGCGCTACACCTGTATAAAAGACACCTGTCCACAGAAACAATCAATCAGATTCCAAACTCTCCACCATGGCCAAGAACAAAGAGCTCTCCAAGGATGTCAGGGACAAGATTGTAGACCTACACAAGGCTGGAATGGGCTACAAGACCATTGCCAAGCAGCTTGATGAGAAGGTGACAACAGTTTGTGCGATTAATCGCAAATGGAAGAAACACAAAAGAACTGTCAATCTCCCTCGGCTTGGGGCTCCAGGCAAGATCTCACCTCGTGGAGTTGCAATGATCATGAGAACGGTGAGGAATCAGCCCAGAACTACACGGGAGGATCTTGTCAATGATCTCAAGGCAGCTGGAACCATAGTCACCAAGAAAACAATTGGTAACACACTACGCCGTGAAGGACTGAAATCCTGCAGCGCCCACAAGGTCCCCCTGCTCAAGAAAGCACATATACATGCCCGTCTGAAGTTTGCCAATGAACATCTGAATGATTCAGAGGACAACTGGGTGAAAGTGTTTTGGTCAGATGAGACCAAAATGGAGCTCTTTGGCATCAACTCAACTCGCCGTGTTTGGAGGAGGAGGAATGCTGCCTATGACCCCAAGAACACCATCCCCACCGTCAAACATGGAGGTGGAAATAGTATGCTTTGGGGGTGTTTTTCTGCTAAGGGGACAGGACAACTTCACCGCATCAAAGGGACGATGGACGGGGCCATGTACCGTCAAATCTTGGGTGAGAACCTCCTTCCCTCAGCCAGGGCATTGAAAATGGGTCGTGGATGGGTATTCCAGCATGACAATGACCCAAAACACACGGCCAAGGCAACAAAGGAGTGGCTCAAGAAGAAGCACATTAAGGTCCTGGAGTGGCCTAGCCAGTCTCCAGACCTTAATCCCATAGAAAATCTGTCGAGGGAGCTGAAGGTTCGAGATGCCAAACGTCAGCCTCGAAATCTTAATGACTTGGAGAAGATCTGCAAAGGAGTGGGACAAAATCCCTCCAGAGATGTGTGCAAACCTGGTGGCCAACTACAAGAAACGTCTGACCTCTGTGATTGCCAACAAGGGTTTTGCCACCAAGTACTAAGTCAGGTTTTGCAGAGGGGGTCAAATACTTATTTCCCTCATTAAAATGCAAATCAATTCATAAAATTTTTGACATGCGTTTTTCTGGATTTTGTTGTTGTTATTCTGTCTCTTACTGTTCAAATAAACCTACCATTAAAATGACAGACTGATCCTTCCTTTGTCAGTGGGCAAACGTACAAAATCAGCAGGAGATCAAATACTTTTTTCCCTCACTGTAGGTGTATTTGCACCGTGCGTGTAGACCTGTGTGTGTGTGTGAGTGACGCACGTGCCGTGTGTGTCTGTGTGCAGGCGTGTGTGTAGAGTGCCAGGCCGCTCGGCGCTCCCAGCAGCAGCGGGACCAACAGGAGTACACACAGGCCACAGTGTACGTGCGCAAAGTCGTCAAGGACTTCAAGGTACACACCCGTGCGTCCACACACAATGCCCCGACACAACCCCGTGTGATTATACATAGGTGCGGGTGTCTGTGTACAGCTGTATCGAGATGCACACACCACAAAGGCACTCATTAGAAGCAGAGTCGACCTCGGGGAGGCCCAGCAGTGGGTCACATAATCGTCACCGGTGTTGGTCGTGAGCGGGTCTCCGGTTTCGTAGCGCAGCGCGCTAACCGCCACACAACGCACGCACGGGCGTACACAACACAAAGATCCCCCGTATAGCCTTACTAGACTGTTGGGGCAAATGCTGTGTTAGCGAGCGCCTATGAAGGCCGACACAGCGTATGAAGGGTTAGGTGGCCAGCTCCACGCCTGGCCATCTTTGTCTCCCCGGTTCTGGTGTTTGCACACCGCACAATCTACTCGTGTGTGGGCCAAGCTGGCCTGATGTTAGTTACGGCCGGGGATCGAACTCGGGTCGCCGTGTTGAGAGTCCGTGCAGTGCACGGCACCACTGCTGCCCACACGGCCGCGCTGACCCCCCCCCTACACCCGCGCGTGGCCCTGCCCGGCCGCACGTGCACGCGGCGGCGGCGACGACGACGACGACAAAGGCAACGATCCGTGTGCTGATGTCGTGCCCTCCTCCTGCGTGCCGCGGCGTCGCGCCTCCTCTCAGGTGATGAAGGAGGCCGTCCCTGAGCTCACGCAGAGCGGCTCGGAGCCCGAGGAGGTGATGGAAGGAACGGACGAGGGCGTGCAGGGAGAGAAGGACCCTGACTTCAGCCAGGTGCGTGCGAGTGTTTGCGCGCCCGTGCGTGGCGTGGCCATGCGCGTTCGAGCTCATCGTGAGTGACGGGGCAGTTGTGGAGAGTGTGGAGAGGTTTCCGTACCGGGGCGGTGTGCGTATGACCAACTCCAGTGTGGCAGCGGAGGCCTCTCTGAATCGGTCGAGCGGCGTTATTTTTTCATCGGAATGCGTAACGCTGCTGTGTTGAAACTTACCTGGCCTGGTGCTCCACACGAAGCTTCGGGTCTTCCTGGGCAAAGTTGTGCCCTTCAAGGAGCCCATTAAAGGAACATCTGCGCTGGTTTGAAACATTCAGCTTGGCCTGCCTACGATCCATCTTGGGTTTAACCAGGCTGGATCATGTGAGGAGTTCACAGATTCTTGAAAGATCTGGACATAGTCTCATCATCAGTTCGCTCTGGCAGGCTGCATTGTCTGGGTCATGCAGCATGTCTGCCGAGCCACCGCATGCCCAAGTTGCTTCTGTTTGGGCATGCGGTGGCTGATATGGTACAGGAGAATATGGAACCGAGTGAACTTGCCGAAAGCCGGGACTTGCGGTGTCAATATCAGCCTCTGGAAGAGGCTCGTGAAGGACGCCACTGGGCAGTTGGAGGCAGTCACCCTCCGGCAACAACGGAGGGCCGAGGAGCGACGCTCACAACAAGGAGCGGAGCGCCGGGTGGCTAAAACGCAGCGAGGTGGCACAGTGGGGAGCGTTTGTATTGCATCTGTCGGTCCCTCAACAGGAAGCCTTCCACACTTTACATGGCCTGAAAGTGCACCTCGGCTGGTACAAGTGGCGTGATGACACTGCCACACATTGGCGGCTGTTATTGTATGTTACACGAGCAGTTGTGTTTGCGTGTATGTGGGTGCACGTGTCCAGGCGCGTGTGTGCGGTTGTTCTTGGAAGTGTGTGTGGGTTTGTATGTATGTAGGTGTGTGGCTGTTTACAGGGAGCGGTGGCGCAGTGGTTAGCACGCCGCGCTACGATTCCCTCTCACGGCCAACATCAGTGACGATTATCTGAACCAGTCCTGGGCGTCTCTTAGATCCACTCAGCCTCAAATGAGTACCTGGTGCGGTATAAACATCGCCACGTGGGAAGACAAAGGTAACCGGACGTGGTGCAGGCCCCCCCTCGCGTTCCGTGCCGGCCTTCACAGGTGCCCCTCGCTAACAGCGCTTGCCCCAACAGTCTGTTACAGGCCATACGGGTGGCGGGGAGGGGGGGGGATCTTTGTGTGCACATTGCATCGTGGCGTACGCGTGCGTGCCTTTAGTGGGTGCGTTCCGGCGTGCGTTTGTAACGCAGTGTGTGGGAGGGGTGTGGTCCTATTGTGCAACCATTGGATAATTGTTGTTGCTGCTGCTGCTGCTCGTGTGGCAATGAAAGGCGCCGTTGGTAAATGTCACCGACGCTCCCCCCCCCCCCCCCCCCCCGGGCGGCACGGTGGGCGGCCGCCGCAGTGCTGACGCTGGCGCCCTACCGGCAGCAACAACAACAGCAGCAGCAGTAGCAGCAGCAGTAGCAGCAGCAGTAGCAGCAGCAGTAGCAGCAGCAGCAGCAGGCACCTGGGTTCAACTCCCGGCTTACCGGGGCGACCCCTTTTCTCGCGAAGGCATTTGTACGGTCACGCCTCCTCTTGCTCTGCGGAGTGGGCGAGTGTAAGTGGGTGAGGTGCTGGGGTTCCCCTAGGTCGACTCGGCCTCAAATGAGTACCTGGGGCGGTGTGTAAACATCGCCGCTTAGGGAGACAATGGGGGTCGGGGGTGGTGCTGGCCACCTCTCACCCCCTCGTGTGCCGTGCCGGCCTTTGTAGGTGCTGCTCGCTAACAGCACTGGTTCCGACAGTTTGGCAAGGCTATACGTGAGATCTCCCCTAGGTCGACTCAGCCTTAAATGTGTACCCGGTTGCAGTGTGTAAACATCAGCACTGGCGAGACATAGGCAGTCGGGCGTGGCATTGGCCACATCACCCACTCATAGGTGTGCCGTGCCGGCCTTCGACCTCTGTCGGTGCTGCTCGCTAACAACATTTGCCCCAACAGTCTGTTCAGGGCTATCTGGGGGGGATTTTTTTTTGCCTTTTGTTCCCTGTGTGTTGTTTGTTCTCTGAGCTTGCAATTAACTGTTTGGTTAACACTTTCCGACTCGGGGTTAAACGGGTTTATACATTAGCTCGGTCGGTCTGGCCATTGCAGGGCGGGGGTGGGATGGGATAGGTGGGGGGGCATGGTAAGCTCCTAGAGATGATGATCCGGGCGGTGTGGCAGCCACGTGAAGCGTGAAGTGTGGCTGCCTGTAAGCCAGCACTCTGTGGAGGCAGCAGCGAGGGTTGGTGGATTGCCGACTCGCCAGCAGACGCAGCACAATAAAGTACGGGCTTACATCGACTGTCCACGAGCGTATGGGATCGAGTGTTGTCCCCTCGCATGCGTGGGTGGTCTTCCGCTGCTCCGGGTTCTTCCCACACGTATAAACGGTCACTAATTGACTGAAAACATTTGAATATTTATAGGACTGCAGAGCAATTGCTTGGCCGCTGGCTCACCACCTGGCAGCCTTCCAGCTCGTGTCAGTGATTCCCACTCGGTGATTGCGGGGGCTACAATTTGCATGAACAACAATGTAGAACTAATAATGATTTTTTTAATCTCCCATACAATCCGAATAAAACGCCCGAGTGAAGTCGTGTTGCTATTTGCGACTCGTTCTGGAGCAGGGGGCTACCAACCAAAATTGACATAAAGAGACAACTTTTATTTTAATTCGTTAAAAGAAATCAACTGGAATATTTCAAGAGCCGCCATTGCATGTACGTGCGTGTGTGTATGCTGAACTTCTTTCGCACCGTACATAGACCAGCCGCGCTAACCGGAGGTGCGTGGGAAGGACAAGAAGCTTAAATGCGCCGAAAAAAAAGCGTGAATACGAGACGGACGGTCCTTAATAACCCAGGTCACGAAGCAGTCCTTGAAGGAGCCGCGGGTTGCTGATCCCCATTCCCTAGAGGAAACAGGTCCACGTTGGCCAGAGCGTTATAACCAACAACTTGGAGACTCGAACCAGCGCTTGAAGCACCGTTTGCGAATGCGCAAACGCATTTTTCCCTGACAGCTTTGACTGACCACCGTATCGATAGTTTAAAAACTAATTAATCATTTAAAAAATTTTTACCAGGTAAGGCCCCGTTGAGCTATGTGTAGCTCTTCTTCAGAAGCGACCTGGCCACAAATGATCGCCCAATAAGGTGGCTTATCACGTGGACATTTAGAGCAGCCAAATACTCTGAATGCTTTTTTTTATTTTTTAATGTGGGGGGCAAAACCGTAGGGCGCGGAGAAAAATCCACGCGACCACGGGGAGAACATGCAAGCTCCTAATATACAGCAGCAGGCGTCAGGGCCTTGATCGAGAGCACGACCTCCTGCGTACCAGGCGAGGGAATGAACGTCTCGCCACCGCGTTGGAGATCGTTGCGTAATCCGTTGCCTGACCACGATTTGTGCAATGAGCGCTGCTCGTGTAATTATACAATATTGGGTTTTAAAATCAACGACACATGATGCTCATGTTCATGAGAAGAATTTACAATTGACCCTTTATATTATTTCTCAACTCCATTTAGGGTGCCACGAATCAGAACAATGCTGGGTTCGAGCCCCGGGCCTCGTGTCTCGCCTTAGCCTCGTGTCTCGCCTTAGCCTCGCACGCACTCTGCAATGCGGTTACCGGTCTGCCGTGACACCGGCCCAAGCTGCTGGCAGGAGGAGAGAAGGAGGCCTCTAGACCGCTGTGCAGACCGTGAACACTCTGCTGGACGCACAACGGCACTTGGTCGCCTGCACGTTGCTGGTGGTCGCTAAGAAAGAGAGAGAAATGGGACAGAGTTCATCCAATCACAGACGGCTGTAATCAGGGCGCCCACATGCGACCGTTTCCATCCAATCGCAGACAGTTCAAATCAGGGTCCCACATGTGACAGAGTCCATTCAGTACTACATGCTGTGTTTTATTTTTATCCACTTTAAGCGCTGTCCCCTGCATCAAGGTGTGCGGTGTGAGTGTATGTGCTTTTGACCAGCTCAAGTTTGACAACAGAGGTCTGATTCTGAATCATTCGGGCGGCATTATCTTTTCATTACCTGCGTAACGCTTTGTAGAAGATACCTGGTCTGTCGCTCCACACGAAACTTCAGGTCTTCTTGGCCAAGTCATGCCCTTCCATCTCTATGCTTGCTAAACATGGAACCCTCTAATGGAACATCTGCACCGGTTAGAAACATTTCAGGCTAGCCTGCCTACGATCCATCCCGGGTATAACCAGGCTGCATTGTGTGAGAAGCTCGCAAATCCTTGAAAAATCTCAAGAGATTCTCAATGAGCTCCTCCGGCAGGCATGGTTGCTTTGGCTGGGTCATGTAGCCTGCATACTCAGCCACCGCATGCCCAAACGGCATCTGTTTGGCTGTCTTAAATGGGCACGGTACGGGCTGCAGAAGAGATGGGCTGATGGCGGTACAGGAGGATGTGGAGCTGAGTGGACTTGCCAATGACCGGTACCAGCAGTGTCAAAGTCGGCCTCTATGGAGTAGGCTCGTGAAGGATGCTACTGGGCATTTGGAGGCAGTCGCCCTCCAACAACAACAGAGGGCAGAGGAGCGACGCTCGCAACAATGATTGGAGCGGACAGAGCTGGTGCATCTGCCAGTCGTCTCACTCAGCCAACCCATGCCACCTGGGTCTGTCCCGTGATCTCCTGTCGTCGAGCCTTCGACAATTCACGTGGCCTCGGAGTGCGCCTTGCCTGGCGCAAGCGCTGTGTGGTGGCGTCACCGCCAATTAGTGATGAATAACGGCTGGTGTTGTTGTGTGCGGGTTGTTTGCTGTTTGTGTAACTCCGTGTCCTGTGGCGGCGGCGGCGGCAGCAGCAGCAACCCCTCCCCGCCGCTAGAAACTCGGCAAGATGAATACTTGACCTGACATGACACTGCACACGACTGAGAGTGAGTGGGAGCGCGTGCGTGTACATTTGGGGAGTGGTAGCGTCGCGGTTAGCGCGCTGCGCTACGAACCCAGGGACCCGGGTTCGATTCCCGCTCATGGCCACCAACGCCAGTGACGATTATCTGAACCGGTCCTGGGCCTCCCCAACGATGTGTAAACATCGCCGCTGGGGAGACAAAGGCGGCCGGGCCCCTGGTGCTGGCCACCCGCCCCCCTCGTGTGCCGTGCCGGCCTTCAGAGTTGCTCGCTTACCAGCGCTTGCCCCGATAGTCTGTCAAAGGCTACACGGGGGATCTTTGTGTGTGTCATAACCGCGATAATCTCCGGCTCTCCACAGCCTGTGCTGAAAAAAAACTAAACAACGGGAGTGAGAGGAGGGGCGATGGACGGACGGGAGGGAGGGAGACAGAGATCCTGTCAAGCTGCCCCAAGGTTCCTGTCGAACCGGTCTCTCACCCCTCCCACCCACCCCCTCCAGTCACGGGTTTTGTTCAGGTGCTGTGAGCGAGCCGCAGATTTCCCTTCTAGGGACGAGATCAAGCGGAGCCTGTTCGTCTCGCTACCCGCGTGTGTGTGTGTGTGTCTTGTGTGTCTTTACGTGCATGTGTGTGTGTGTCTGTGCCAGGCTGTTGTGTGGCAGATGCACAGGTGTTGGTTGCATCTGCCAATCATCTCAGTCAGTCAACCCATGGATGGCACCTGGGTCTGTCCCATGACCTCCTTGTCAGCGAGCCTTCGCCACTTCACGTGGCCTCAGCGTGCACCTAACCTGACACAAGCGCCGTGGTGACGTCGCCGCCACTTAGAAGTGAATGGCGTTGGTTGCGAGAGTGTGTGTGTGTGTGTGTGCGGAGCGGTGGCGCAGTGGTTCAGTGCGTTACGAACCCGGTGACCCCGGTGAAATTCACGCTCGCGGACAACATCGTTGCCGAATATATGAACCGGTCATGGGGCCTCCTCTAGGTCGACTCAGTCTTAAACGAGTACCCGGTGCAGTGTATAAACATCGGCATTGGGGAAACAAGGGTGGCCGGATATTATCCAAACCACGCCACCTCCTCGTGTGCCGTGCCGTGCCCGCCTTCATAGGTGCTCGCTAACAGCACTTGCCCGAACAGTCTGTTAAGGCTATACGGGGATCTTTGTCTCTGTATGGGTGTGGTGAGCGGGAGTGTAGTGGTTAAGCATGCCGTGCTACAAACCCGACGAACAGAGTTCGATTCCCGCTCACCTGTTTCGGGCCTCCCCTAGGTCAACGCAGCCCCAAATTAGTACCTGGTCCGGTGTGTAAACATCGCCACTGGGGAGACAAAGGTGGCCGGGCGTGGAGCTGGCCACCCACCTCCTCGTGTGCCGTGCCCGCCTTCATAGGTGCTCGCTAACAGCACTTGCCCGAACAGTCTGTTAAGGCTATACGGGGGATTTTGCCTTTGTGTATGTTTAATAATAATGCAATTCGTACCACGCATATTTCACAGACATAAATTACTCACTCAGAGATATGGAGGTGGGGAGGGTTTTCAGAATGAAGTGAGGCCTTTAATAAAGAAGTGGGGCCTTGAATAAAGAAGTGGGCCTTTAAAAGAAGAGGTGGAGCCTTTCATAAAGAGGTGGGGCCTTTAAAGAGGTGGGGCGTTTAAAGAGGTGGGGCTTTCAATAAAGAGGTGGGGCGTTTGAGGAAGAGATTGGATCCTTTTATGTGTCTCTTAAAAGTCCGTGTAGCTTGCAGGTTGCTGCTGCTGCTGCTGTGAATGTGCAGCAGTGGGATGATGACGATGGCCGAGCTCCAGACGAAGGGGGCTGCCACGGAGACGCGACGGCCGGCAGTGGCCGTGGTCCCGGTCCTTGGTGGAGAGAGGAGGAGGAGGTTGTGAGTCGTGCTGCTGCTGCTGCAGAGGAGGAAAGGGGGGAGGCCGAGGAGCTGTAGTGCAGGGCGACGGGAGAGCGAGGAGAGGTGTGGAGGACACCCGAGAGTCGGGGCGTGGGCAGGAGGTCTTGCAGCTGACCCCGCTGGCGATGGTGGAGGAGCCAGCGGGCGGAGGAGAGGCAATCTGGGCGAGGACTACGTGGGGGGAGGTTGCATGGTTTTTAAGCGTGTGTGTGTGTGTGCGCGTTGCACTACGAACCTGGCGACCCGGGTTCGATTCCCGCTCACGGCCGAACCGGTTCTGGGCCTCTCCTAGGTAGACTCGGCCTCAAATGAGTACCTGGTGCGGAGCGTAAAATCAGGCGTGGTGCAAGCCACCCACCCCCTCGTGTGCTGTTCTGGCCTTCATAGATGCTCGCTAAAAGCCCCTACACTCTGTAAAGGCTATATGGGGTATCTTTTTTTTTTATCTTTGTGTGCGCATGTCTGTGTGTGCGTGTGTGTACACGTGTGTGTGCCCTCGTGTACGTGTGTGTGTGTACGTGTACGTGCGTGTGTGTACGTGTGTGTGCGTGTGCGTGTGTGTGTGTGTACGTGTGTGTGTACGTGTGCGTGTGTACGTGTGTGCGTGCAGCAGGCCAACGGGCTGAAGCGGCGCCGCGTCAGCCCCCTCGAGGGCCCCGGCTCCGCGGCGGCGGCGGCGGCGGCGGCAGAGGCGGCGGCGGCGGCGGCGGTGCGTCGCAGCGCTCGCCACCGCCGCGTGCGCGGGGAGAAGGGGCTCGTGGTGTCGGCGCGGCAGACGCTGCGCGAGCTCAAGATACAGGTGCACTGCCGCACGAGCCACGCCGGCCACGCGTGGGTACACGCACGAGCCGCTTCCGGGCCTCCTCCGGACTGACTCGGCCTTAACTGAGACGAAGGCGGCCGGCCGTGGCGCCCGCTGCCCATCCCCTCGTCGGCCGTGCTCGCGGACAACGCTTGCCCCAGCGGTCTGTTTAAAGGCCGCACGGGGGGGGGGGATCTTTGTGTCTGCGTGTACAGATCATGCACGCGTTCTCAGTGGCTCCGTTTGACCAGAACCTGTCGGTGGACGGCCGGATCCTGTCGGACGACTCCGCCTCCCTTGGCCACTTGGGCGTCCTCCCCAACTCCGTAATTCTACTCCAGGTCTCCACCGCTCGCCCCATCGCCGTGACGACCCCTCCCCCGGTCGCCGTGGCGACCGCTCGCTCGCACAGTCACCGTGACGACCGCTCACCCAGTCGCCCTCACGACCGTTTGCCCAGTCGCTGTGACATCTGCTGGCCCTGTTGCCATGACAGCTGCTCACCCACTCGCCCTGTTGCCATGGCAATGTCCCTAGATGTGATGCGCGCCGTGACAAATACGCACCTAATCACCACGACAACTGTTCATATAGTTGCCGTGACAACAACTGTCCTGGTCACCGTGACGAATGTTTGCTCGGTCACTGCGGCAACATCTTGCCAGGTCGCCGTGGCGACGGCTATCGTGTGCGCTTTACTCTTTCACCATGGCGATGACGACTACGATATGTCGATGAGATGGTGGTGATGATGATGATGATGACGATAGTGGTGATGACGATGGTGACCCAAGTAATCGTCGTGATAATGATGACGACGATGATTCATAATTAAGGTTTGTGGAGTTAGATCATGTCGTAAACCCTCTACCACCCGACACAGCCAATGGGTTAATAGTGGTCTTGTGACCGGAATCCACTCATCGTTACACCATGTATGTACGTACGTATGTTGGACTTCTCTCGCACCGCACATAGCTAAGTGACTGTGCCGATGGCGTCCACGGCATCTGCTTCAGGACCCGGACCAGGAAGCGTTTTCACTCGAGATCCGAGGTCCCGTTAATAACAAAGCCGATGGTTCTGAATGCGGATTTTGAATCATCGTTTATCCTGGAAGAATTCGGTGGGCTATGAAGTTCCTTTTCACGGATGTCCAGCAGTAAGGCCACGGGGAGGTTGTGGGGGTCATCGTGTTGCATCAACAACCAACAATACAAACTTTAGACGATGTGAGTGCAAGATAGAGGCAAGGTAAGCAAGCCTCTGAAAATAAATGAAAATAAAGCATGGACGTACAAATTGCACAAGCACGTACATTCCTGCCGATTTGTCAACACCAAAAGTAAGCTTGGGGCAAGGTAGCAAAGCAACAACAACAGCCCCAGACCACACCAAGACAACAACAACAACAACAACAGCCCCAGACCACACCAAGACAACAACAACAACAGTCCCAGACCACAGCAAGACAGCAACAACAACAGCCCCAGACCACACCAAGACAACAACAAACAGTCACAGACCACACCAAGACAACAACAACAGTCCCAGACCACACCAAGACAACAACAACAGTCCCAGACCACACCAAGACAACAACAGTCCCAGACCACACCAAGACAACAACAACAGTCCCAGACCACACCAAGACAACAACAACAGCCCCAGACCACACCAAGACAACAACAACAACAACAGCCCCAGACCACACCAAGACAACAACAACAACAACAGTCCCAGACCACAGCAAGACAGCAACAACAACAGCCCCAGACCACACCAAGACAACAACAAACAGTCACAGACCACACCAAGACAACAACAACAGTCCCAGACCACACCAAGACAACAACAACAGTCCCAGACCACACCAAGACAACAACAGTCCCAGACCACACCAAGACAACAACAACAGTCCCAGACCACACCAAGACAACAACAACAGTCCCAGACCACACCAAGACAACAACAACAGTCCCAGACCACACCAAGACAACAACAACAACAACAGTCTCAGACCACACCAAGACAACAACAACAGTCCCAGACCACACCAAGACAACAACAACAACATTCCCAGACCACACCAAAACAACAACAACAGTCCGAGACCACACCAAGACAACAACAACAGTCCCAGACCACAACAACAACAACAGTCCAAGACCACACCAAGACAACAACAACAGTCCCAGACCACAACAACAACAACAGTCCCAGACCACACCAAGACAACAACAACAACAGTCCCAGACCACAACAACAACAGTCCGAGACCACACCAAGACAACAACAACAGTCCCAGACCACAACAACAACAACAGTCCCAGACCACACCAAGACAACCACAACAGTCCCAGACCACAACAACAACAACAGTCCGAGACCACACCAAGACAACAACAACAGTCCCAGACCACAACAACAACAACAGTCCCAGACCACACCAAGACAACAACAACAACAGTCCCAGACCACAGCAAGACAACAACAACAGTCCCAGACCACACCAAGACAACAACAACAGTCCGAGACCACACCAAGACAACAACAACAGTCCCAGACCACACCAAGACAACAACAGTCCCAGACCACACCAAGACAACAACAACAGTCCCAGACCACACCAAGATAACAACAACAGTCCCAGACCACACCAAGACAACAACAACAACAGTCCCAGACCACACCAAGACAACAACAGTCCCAGGCCACACCAAGACAACAACAACAGTCCCAGACCACACCAAGACAACAACAACAACAGTCACAGACCACACCAAGACAACAACAACAACAACAGTCCCAGACCACACCAAGACAACAACAACAACAACAGTCCCAGACCACACCAAGACAACAACAACAACATTCCCAGACCACACCAAGACAACAACAACAGTCCCAGACCACACCAAGACAACAACAGTCCCAGACCACACCAAGACAACAACAGTCCCAGACCACACCAAGACAACAACAACAGTCCCAGACCACACCAAGACAACAACAACAACAACAGTCCCAGACCACACCAAGACAACAACAACAACAACAGTCCCAGACCACACCAAGACAACAACAACAACAACAACAGTCTCAGACCACACCAAGACAACAACAGTCCCAGACCACACCAAGACAACAACAACAACATTCCCAGACCACACCAAGACAACAACAACAACAGTCCGAGACCACACCAAGACAACAACAACAGTCCCAGACCACAGCAACAACAACAGTCCGAGACCACACCAAGACAACAACAACAGTCCCAGACCACAACAACAACAACAGTCCCAGACCACACCAAGACAACAACAACAGTCCCAGACCACACCAAGACAACAACAGTCCCAGACCACACCAAGACAACAACAACAGTCCCAGACCACACCAAGATAACAACAACAACAACAGTCCCAGACCACACCAAGACAACAACAACAACAGTCCCAGACCACACCAAGACAATAACAACAGTCCCAGGCCACACCAAGACAACAACAACAGTCCCAGACCACACCAAGACAACAACAACAACAGTCACAGACCACACCAAGACAACAACAACAGTCCCAGACCACACCAAGACAACAACAACAGTCCCAGACCACTCCAAGACAACAACAACAACATTCCCAGACCACACCAAGACAACAACAACAACAACAGTCCGAGACCACACCAAGACAACAACAACAGTCCCAGACCACAACAACAACAACAACAGTCCGAGACCACACCAAGACAACAACAACAGTCCCAGACCACAACAACAACAGTCCCAGACCACACCAAGACAACCACAACAGTCCCAGACCACAACAACAACAACAGTCCGAGACCACACCAAGACAACAACAGTCCCAGACCACAACAACAACAACAACAGTCCCAGACCACACCAAGACAACAACAACAACAGTCCCAGACCACAGCAAGACAACAACAACAGTCCCAGACCACACCAAGACAACAACAACAGTCCGAGACCACACCAAGACAACAACAACAGTCCGAGACCACACCAAGACAACAACAACAGTCGCAGACCACACCAAGACAACAACAACAGTCCGAGACCACACCAAGACAACAACAACAGTCCCAGACCACACCAAGACAACAACAACAACAACAACAGTCGCAGACCACACCAAGACAACAACAACAGTCCGAGACCACACCAAGACAACAACAACAGTCCCAGACCACACCAAGACAACAACAACAACAACAACAGTCCCAGACCACACCAAGACAACAACAACAACAACAGTCCCAGACCACACCAAGACAACAACAACAGTCCCAGACCACACCAAGACAACAACAACAACAATCCCAGACCACACCAACACAACAACAACAGTCCCAGACCACACTGAGACAAGAAAAAAGTCCCTAATTTCTGGATGACATCTCCAGCGAAACGTCGTCACCTTTTGAAAAGTCGTGAGATCGCTCTCAAACAACAACAACAACAAACAACGCCACCGGTGGTGGTGGTGGTGGTGCTGCTGAAGCAGTCGTGCATTTGTCCACGTCCAGATTCACGCGACGCACGTTCATTAGTTGGCTGTGCCGGGTGGAGGAGAGGTCCTCGGACACATTTGTTCACTCGCACACGACGGCCTGACCTTTAAAACTAAAACAATTACGAATCATACTAGTCATGAAAGCCTACGTTGTAAAATTAACTATGGCGATGATGGTGATGACGATGACGATGATGATGGTGACGTTGCCGCCCGCAGGCCGACGAGCCGATTGCAGACTACTCGAGCATCGATGACATCACGCAGGGTGAGAGATGGCTTGCCGCGTGTGTTGTGCCGCGTCTTGTGTGACCGACTGTTACGTATGATGCTGTCTGTGTGTGTATATGACAATGTGTGTGTGTGACAGTGTGTGTGTGTGTGTATGACGCTGTGTTTGTGTATGATGCTGTGTGTTTTGTCTGCATGACGCTCTCGGTATGTGTGCGTGTGTATGACGCTAAGTGTATGATGCTATGTGCGTGTATGACGCTAAGTGTATGATGCTATGTGTGTGTATGACGCTAAGTGTATGATGCTATGTGTGTGTATGACGCTAAGTGTATGATGCTATGTGCGTGTATGACGCTAAGTGTATGATGCTATGTGTGTGTATGACAATGTGTGTGTGTGTGTGACGGCCTTCATAGGTGCTCGCTAACAGCACTTGCCCCAACAGTCTGTTAAGGCTATCCGGGGGATCTTTGTGACAGTGTGTGTGTGTGTATGACCCTGTGTTTGCATGTATGACGCTGTCTGTGTGTGTGTGTATGACAATGTGTGTGTGTGACAGTGTGTGTGTGTGTATGACGCTGTGTTTGTGTATGATGCTGTGTGTTTTGTCTGCATGATGCTCTCGGTGTGTGCACGTGTGTATGACGCTAAGTGTATGATGCTATGTGCGTGTATGATGCTAAGTGTATGATGCTATGTGCGTGTATGACGCTAAGTGTATGATGCTATGTGTGTGTATGACGCTAAGTGTATGATGCTATGTGTGTGTATGACACTGTCTGTGTGTGTATGACGCTCTTTGTGCATGTGTGACGCTGTGATTGTATGACACTGTGTGTGTGACGCGGTGTGTGTGTGTATGACCCTGTGTTTGCATGTCTGACGCTGTCTGTGCATGTGTGACGCTCTTTGTGCATGTGTGACGCTTTGTGTGTATGTGGAGAGCGGCAGTGTAGCGGTTAGCGCTACGCTGCGCTATGAACCCGGCGACCCGAGTTCGATTCCCGCTCACGGCCAACACCGGTGACGATTATCTGAACCGGTCCTGGGCCTCCGCTAGGTCAACTCAGCCTCAAATGAGCACCTGGTGCGGTGTGTAGTAAACATCGCCACTGGGGAGACAAAGGCGGCAGGCCGGGTGCGGTGATGACCACCCACCCTACTCGTGTGCCATGCCGGCCTTCATGGAGGTGCTCGCTAACCGCACTTGGCCAAACAGTGTGTTAAAGGCTACACGGGGGATCTTTGTCTTTGTGTTGCAGTGTGCTTGCCGGAAGAAGGCTTTAAAGGTGAGTCCTCCGCCACTTTGCTCACAAAGTTTATGTGTTCGGTTCAGAAACTCATCCCTCTGTCTCGGTCTGTCTGTCGTTTGTAACTCTCTGTCTGTCGCATTCCTTCTGTCTGTCTCATTCCTTCTATCTCTATCACTCTGTCTCATTCCTTCTGTCTGTCTCATTCCTTCTGTCTATCACTCTCTGTCTCATTCCTTCTGTCTCTATCACTCTGTCTGTCTCATTCCTTCTGTCTCTATAACTCTGTCTCATTCCTTTTGTCTGTCTCATTCCTTCTGTCTCTATCACTCTCTGTCTCATTCCTTCTGTCTCTATCACTCTGTCTCATTCCTTGTGTCTGTCTCATTCCTTCTGTCTCATTCCTTCTGTCTCTATCACTCTGTCTGTCTCATTCCTTCTGTCTCTATAACTCTCTGTCTCATTCCTTCTGTCTCTATCACTCTGTCTGTCTCATTCCTTCTGTCTCTATAACTCTCTGTTTCATTCCTTCTGTCTCACTCTGTCTCATTCCTTCTGTCTCTATCACTCTCTGTCTCATTCCTTCTGTCTCTATCACTCTCTGTCTCATTCCTTTTGTCTCTATCACTCTCTGTCTCATTCCTTCTGTCTCTATCACTCTGTCTCATTCCTTTTGTCTGTCTCATTCCTTCTGTCTCTATCACTCTGTCTGTCTCATTCCTTCTGTCTCTATAACTCTCCGTCTCATTCCTTCTGTCTCTATCACTCTGTCTGTCTCGTGTATTCTGTATCTCGTTCCATCCATCTAGTTTTGTTCTGTCTGTCTCATTCATTCTGTCGCGCGGAACCACGCGTGTGTGCGTGCGTGTGTCTGTATGCGTGCACTTCCATACAACAACTCATTCACTGCCACAACTTGCTTTTATTTCTACATTATGAACAATCTCGAAATAGCATGACAAAAACATTCTCTCTCACTGCATAGCTATTTGTCTAATGTATATGGGTATTAACCTGTTCCCATTGCAATGAGATACGTGTATGTCATCTAAAAACAAAGCTCCCACAAGGCCATGCGGGTGGGGAGGGCAGGGGAGGGCTGCACGTGGCACGGTTTAGCGCCAGCTCACGTCGAGTGGCGGCGGTCGTGTCGCTCGCGGTTCTCCGCGGTGAGCGACGACATTGTTTTAAAACAGCGGCGCTGCCACTACGCCGCTCTGAGCAAAACGAACGCCCGAGCCAGTTCGCGCGTTTCCGAGATCGTCCGGTAAACGGTGGGGGGGGGGGACACACCGCCCGCGACCCTGCAGACGTCTCGCAACGGGGAAGGGGTTTTCACGTGGTGACGCTTTGGGTGGGCAGATTTGTGCCCCGGTGCGGTGCATAAACGTGAGCACTGGGGGAGGTAAAGGCACGCTGGTAGCACTTGCCCCAACTGTCTGTCTGTGTAGGCTACGGTGAGGGATCTTTGTCTTTGGCTCGTGGCCGTGGTGGCTGTTGGTCATTAGGATGTATTCTCTCTCTGTTTGTCTACGTAAGTGATGGATTCTGTGCGTGCGTGTGCGATGTGTTAGCTGTGTGTGTGTGTGTAAATGGGTGATGTATTCTCCGTGACGTGACTGTGTCAGTGGGCAATGTTTAACACGTAGGCTTTCGCGACCAATATTCATAAGGTTTTTGGGTTAGATTGCTTGGGTATAAATGCGTCGTAACCCTCCACCACCCGACACAGCCAATTAATAACGGATTTGTCATGTACACAAAACGCCAATTAGTTAGTACTTACAGTGAGAGAAAAACCTACAAGAAACGTCTGACCTCTGTGATTGCCAACAAGGGTTTTGCCACCAAGTACTAAGTCATGTTTTGCAGAGGGGTCAAATACTTATTTCCCTCATTAAAATGCAAATCAATTTATAACATTTTTGACATGCGTTTTTCTGGATTTTTTTTGTTATTCTGTCTCTCACTGTTCAAATAAACTTACCATTAAAATTATAGACTGATCATTTCTTTGTCAGTGGGCAAACGTACAAAATCAGCAGGGGATCAAATACTTTTTTCCCTCACTGTAAGCCCACGGTGTGTTGGAGAGTAAATTCACAACATTTACAATTTGAGTACGACATTTTCGCTGCTCATTAAATCCAGCATCATCGGGCGATTATGAGAGAGCAATGTGTTCTCTGTATGAGTGAGTGAGAGTTGTATTCTGTGTGTGTGTGATGTATTCTGTACGTGTGTGTGAGTGATGTATTCTGTACGTGTGTGTGAGTGATGTATTCTGTACGTGTGTGTGAGTGATGTATTCTGTGTGTGATGTATTCTGTACGTGTGTGTGAGTGATGTATTTCGTGTGTGTGAGTGATGTATTCTGTATGTGTGTGTGATGTATTCTGTACGTGTGTGTGAGTGATGTATTCTGTGTGTGTGAGTGATGTATTCTGTATGTGTGTGTGTGATGTATTCTGTATGTGTGTGTGAGTGATGTATTTCGTGTGTGTGAGTGATGTATTCTGTATGTGTGTGTGATGTATTCTGTACGTGTGTGTGAGTGATGTATTCTGTGTGTGTGAGTGATGTATTCTGTATGTGTGTGTGTGATGTATTCTGTGTGTGTGAGTGATGTATTCTGTATGTGTGTGTGTGATGTATTCTGTATGTGTGTGTGTGATGTATTCTGTGTGTGTGAGTGATGTATTCTGTATGTGTGTGTGTGATGTATTCTGTATGTGTGTGTGTGATGCATTCTGTACGTGTGTGTGAGTGATGTATTCTGTATGTGTGTCTGTGATGTATTCTGTATGTTTGTGTGATGTATTCTGTACATGTGTGTGTGTGTGATGTATTCTGTACGTGTGTGTGTGTGATGTATTCTGTATGTTTGTGATGTATTCTGTACATGTGTGTGTGTGATGTATTCTGTACGTGTGTGTGTGTGATGTATTCTGTATGTTTGTGTGATGTATTCTGTATGTTTGTGTGATGTATTCTGTATGTTTGTGTGATGTATTCTGTATGTTTGTGTGATGTATTCTGTACGTGTGTGTGTGATGTATTCTGTACGTGTGTGTGTGTGTGTGATGTATTCTGTATGTTTGTGATGTATTCTGTATGTGTTTGTGTGATGTATTCTGTGTGTGTGTGATGTATTCTGTATGTGTTTGTGTGATGTATTCTGTATGTGTTTGTGTGATGTATTCTGTACGTGTGTGTGAGTGATGTATTTCGTGTTGAGTGGTGGTGTAGCAGTGAGCACGCTGCGCTACAAATCCGGCGGCCCGAGTTGAATTCCCGCTCGCAGCCAAGGCCATTGACAAATATCTGAACCAGTCGTGGGCATCCCCTAGGTCGACTTAGCCTCAAATGAGTACCTGGTACGGTGTGTTAACTTCGCCACTCTGGATATAAAAGGCGGTTGCGCGAGGCGCTGTACCGTTCCGGCCTTCAGAGGTGCTCACTCCCAGCACTTGCCCCAACAGTCTGTTAAGGCGATACAGGGCATCTTTGTCTTTATATGAGTGAGTGATGTATTTTCTGTACGTGTGAGTGAGTGTGTGATGTATTCTCTATTGCGTGTCAGTAAGTGACCGTTGTGTAATCTTTCTCTCTGTACATGTGAGTGAGTGATGTATTCTCTGTACGTGTGAGTGAGTGTGTGATGTATTCTCTGTTGCGTGTCAGTGAGTGACCAATGTGTAATCTTTCTCTCTCTGTACATGTGAGTGAGTGATGTATTCTCTGTACATGTGCATGAGTGAGTGATTTATTCTCTGTTGCGTGTCAGTGAGTGACCAATGTGTAATCTCTCTCTCTACATGTGAGCGAGTGATGTATTCTCTGTACGTGTGAGTGAGTGATGTGTAATCTCTCTCTCTCTATACATGTGAGTGAGTGATGGATTCTCTGTACGTGTGAGTGAGTGATGTATTCTCTGTACGTGTGAGTGAGTAAGTGATGTATTCTCTGTTGCGTGTCAGTAAGTGACTGTTGTGTAATCTCTCTCTATATGTGAGTGAGTGATGTATTCTCTGTACGTGTGAGTGAGTGAGTGATGTAATCTCTGTTGCGTGTCAGTGAGTGACCGTTGTGTAATGAGTACCTGGTGCGGTGTGTAAACATTGCCACTAGGGAGACAAAGGCGGTCGGGCGTGGTGCTGGCCACCCACCCCCTCATGTACCGTTCCGGCCTTCATAGGTGCTCGCTAGCAGCACTTGCCCCTACAGTCTGTTAAGGCTACACGGGGGATCTTTGTTTGTTGTGTAATCTCTCTATACATGTGAGTGAGTGATGTATTCTCTGTACGTGTGAGTGAGTGAGCGATGTGTAATCTTTCTCTCTCTACATGTGAGTGAGTGATGTATTCTCTGTACGTGTGAGTGAGTGATGTATTCTTTGTTGCGTGTCAGTGAGTGAGCGATGTGTAATCTTTCTCTCTCTACATGTGAGTGAGTGATGTATTCTCTGTACGTGTGAGTGAGTGAGTGATGTGTAATCTCGCTCTCTATACATGTGAGTGGGTGATGTATTCTCTATACGTGTGTGTGAGTGAGTTGTAATCTCTCTCTATACATGTGAGTGAGTGATGTAATCTCTGTGTGTGAGTGAGTGATGTAATCTCTGTGTGTGAGTGAGTGATGTAATCTCTGTGTGTGTGTGAGTGATGTAATCTCTGTTGCGTGTCAGTGAGTGAGCGATGTGTAATCTTTCTCTCTCTCTCTCTGTACATGTGAGCGAGTGATGTATTCTCTGTACGTGTGTGAGTGAGTGATGTATTCTCTGTACGTGTGTGAGTGAGTGATGTATTCTCTCTTGCGTGTCAGTGAGTGAGTGATGTGTAATCTTTCTCTCTCTCTACATGTGAGTGAGTGATGTATTCTCTGTTGCGTGTCAGTGAGTGACCGTTGTGTAATCTCCCTCTCTATACATGTGAGTGAGTGATGTATTCTCTGTACGTGTGTGTGAGTGAGTGATGTATTCTCTGTACATGTGAGTGAGTGATGTATTCTCTGTACGTGTGTGTGAGTGAATGATGTATTCTCTGTACGTGTGTGAGTGAGTGATGTATTCTCTGTACGTGTGTGAGTGAGTGATGTATTCTCTGTACGTGTGTGAGTGAGTGATGTATTCTCTCTTGCGTGTCAGTGAGTGAGTGATGTGTAATCTTTCCCTCTCTCTACATGTGAGTGAGTGATGTATTCTCTGTTGCGTGTCAGTGAGTGACCGTTGTGTAATCTCCCTCTCTATACATGTGAGTGAGTGATGTATTCTCTGTACGTGTGTGTGAGTGAGTGATGTATTCTCTGTACGTGTGTGAGTGAGTGATGTATTCTCTGTACGTGTGTGAGTGAGTGATGTATTCTCTCTTGCGTGTCAGTGAGTGAGTGATGTGTAATCTTTCCCTCTCTCTACATGTGAGTGAGTGATGTATTCTCTGTTGCGTGTCAGTGAGTGACCGTTGTGTAATCTCCCTCTCTATACATGTGAGTGAGTGATGTATTCTCTGTACGTGTGTGTGAGTGAGTGATGTATTCTCTGTACGTGTGTGTGAGTGAGTGATGTATTCTCTGTACGTGTGTGTGAGTGAATGATGTATTCTCTGTACGTGTGTGTGAGTGAGTGATGTATTCTCTGTACGTGTGTGTGAGTGAGTGATGTATTCTCTGTACGTGTGTGTGAGTGAGTGATGTATTCTCTGTACGTGTGAGTGAGTGATGTATTCTCTGTACGTGTGTGTGAGTGAGTGATGTATTCTCTGTACGTGTGAGTGAGTGATGTATTCTCTGTACGTGTGTGTGAGTGAGTGATGTATTCTCTGTGAGTGAGCGGGCGACGTGTCTCCCCCCTCCCCATCTTCCCTCCCCAGGCACAGGGTTGCTGGGTCACTAGAGGCGCCCCGGGGGGCTGGCACGCCCCCGTCGCCCGCCCAGCGCTCGCCCCGTGCCGGGATTCTCGTCCCACGGTGTCGCTGCCGTCACCGCTCCTTCGCCGGCGGCGGCGCTGACGGTGCTGCGACGGCTGGCTCACCGTGACGGTTATCTTCCCGTGCGACGGTTGTGACGACGGTTGTGACCGCGGCTCTTTTGTTTGTTTTATCGTGACGGTTTTTCGCCGATACGGTTGTTTCCCCCCTGCCGGCGGCGGTGCTGGTGGCTGGTGGTAGCGGTTGTCGCGGTGACGGTTCTATGAATGTGTCACCCTTGCGTTGTACTTGGCAGTGTTGTGGGAGGTGGTGGGTGAGTGAGTGAGCGTGCAGGTGAGGGAGTGAGCGTGCAGGTGAGGGAGTGAGTGTGCAGGTGAGGGAGTGAGTGTGCAGGCGAGGGAGTGAGTGTGCAGGTGAGGGAGTGAGTGTGCAGGCGAGGGAGTGAGTGTGCAGGCGAGGGAGTGAGTGTGCAGGTGAGGGAGTGAGTGTGCAGGTGAGGGAGTGAGTGTGCAGATGAGGGAGTGAGTGTGCAGGCGAGGGAGTGAGTGTGCAGGTGAGGGAGTGAGTGTGCAGGTGAGGAAGTGAGTGTGCAGGTGAGGGAGTGAGTGTGCAGGTGAGGGAGTGTGCAGGCGAGGGAGTGAGTGTGCAGGTGAGGGAGTGAGTGTGCAGATGAGGGAGTGAGTGTGCAGGCGAGGGAGTGAGTGTGCAGGTGAGGGAGTGAGTGTGCAGGTGAGGGAGTGAGTGTGCAGGTGAGGAAGTGAGTGTGCAGGTGAGGGAGTGAGTGTGCAGGTGAGGGAGTGAGTGTGCAGGCGAGGGAGTGAGTGTGCAGGCGAGGGAGTGAGTGTGCAGGTGAGGCAGTGAGTGTGCAGGTGAGGGAGTGAGTGTGCAGGCGAGGGAGTGAGTGTGCAGGCGAGGGAGTGAGTGGGAGGGGGAGTGAGTGTCTGGGTGAGCGTGTGTCTATGTCTTTGTGTCTGTACGTGAACTTGTGAGTGTCCGTATGTGTGTGAGAATCTGAGTGTAGGGTCCAGCGCGACGAACCCGGCGACCCGAGTTCAATTCTCGCTCACGGCCAACACCAGTGACGATTATCTGAACCGGTCCTGGGCCTCCTGTAGTTCGACTCAGCCTAAAATGAGTTCCTGGTGCGGTGTGTAAACATCGTCACTCGGAAGGCAAAGGCATGGTGTTGGCCACCCACCCCCTCGTGTGCTGTTTTGGCCCATCATATGTGCTCACTAACAGCGCTTGCCGCAACAGTCTGTTAAGGGGCCATCCATTTAGTACGTACTCATGGAGGGGAGAGGGGGGAGGTTAACCCAAATGCGTACGCTTGCATATGGGGCCACAGTTCAGTTTCTTCAGCTGTCAGACAACAAGTACTGTCGGGAGAAGTGGGACAGTGGGAGAGGTGTCACTCGTATGCAACCGTACCCCTGACTGCAGCTATCACGCAGCTCAGCAAAATAAGTGGCCAAGGTACGCAACTGAATTCTTCAATGCAGCCGGCGGTGGACTATCTGTTTGCTAAAACATGCTAATATTATTAATCCTTGTTCGTTTCTGCGTGGATTAAATATCGGCCGTTCTATACCATTGAGGGGGGGGGGGGTGTGAAGTGTACGTACGCAGGTGGGGGGGGGGGGGAGGTGTAAAAAGTTCACGTGCATACAGGGAGGGGGGGGAGGGGTCAAGTTTTGACAGATTTTTGCGTACGTACTCAATGGATGGCCCCTAAGGCATATGGGGGATCTTTATTTTTGTCTTTGTGAGTGTTGTGTGTCTGGCTAACAGCGCTTGCCCGAATGGCCTGTGAAGGCTATATGGGGGATGTTTTGTTGTGTCTGCCTTCAAGTCTCTGTGTGGCTTTGTGTTTTTTTTGTGTGTGAGTGTGTCTGTTTTTGGCTGTGTTCCGATGCGTTGTGTGTGTTTGCTTGTGTCCGTGTGCCTGAGAATGCGAAAGTGTGTCTGTGTAACAGTCTGTTGAGACTTTTGCGGGGGGTCTTTGTCATTTGTTTTGAGTGTACGGATGGAAAGTGTGTCAATGTCTTTGTATGAGAGAGTGCACGTGAGTGTATGAGAGTGTGGAAGTGTATGAGTGTGAGTGAGTACATGACTGCGAGTATGTGCGAGTGTTAGTGTAGCGGTTAGCGCGCTGCCCTAAGAAACCCGTTGACCCGAGTTCAATTCCTGCTCATGGTCCACACCAGTGACAATTATCTGAACTGGTCCTGGGCCTCTCCTAGGTCGACTCAGCCTCAAATAAGTACCTGGTGGGATGTGTAAACATCGCCAATGGGGAGACAAAGGCGGCCGGGCGTGGTGCTGGCCACCCACCCCCTCGTGTGCCGTTCCAGCCTTAATAGGTGCTCGCTAACAGTACTTGCCCCAACAGTCTGTGAAGGCTATACGGGGAATCTGTGTCTGTGTGAGTGGACGAGTGTGGGTATATTAGAGTGAGGGTATGAGAGTGAGTGTGCGAGTGTGTTGTGTGTGTTTTACTAAACAGTTGCAATGCTAGTGGCAGTGCGTATTGCACCACGCGATTGCAGTCCCTCGTTCATCGTTGCAGTTGTCACGGTTACGGTACAGGCCCCCCCCCCCCCCCCGTTTGTGTTGGGACGCCCCGTTCGACCTGTGTTTAACCGATTTACCATTGAACGTTTAACTTGCAGCGCCGTTCTCGTTTTTGAGTTGGTGCGGCGCGGGGGCTGAGGAGTGGTGTGAGCTGGCAGGTTGATTAAAAGGGTCAGAGGTCAAGGTCTAAGGTGGGTGGGGGTGGGGGGGGGGCACGTTCCCCCCTCCCACATAGGGCATCCTCATCGGGCAAGGTTGAATAAACCACGGCTGAAAAGCACTCGCTGGGTCCTGTGTGGTTGCCTGCGCGGTGTCCGTGTGTGCCGTCCGTGTAAAGCTGCAGAATTTCCGGGAGGCTCGACCAGAGGACACGCGGTGAGCTTGGGATCGCCTCCCTCCGTCGACGCCACCCACTTTTTAACTAGTCACGCCCACTCAACCACTAGCACCGCCCACACAGCCAGCGGACTGGCTCTGACAGCCCCGCCCGCTACTCGGGTAAGCCCCGCCCACTGCTCGGTTAACCCAGCTCACCACCCGGGTCACCGTGAGTTGAGCACGAGGCCGGATCGTTTTAAACTGGCGACAAAAACCCGGATTTTCGGAGAGGCTTTGTCGAGACCCACGGACCGACGGGCTTTTTGATACCACGAGAACTGTCCGACGAAATCCAGATGTCTGTTTGGCTTTTATGTCCGCGTGGTTCCCGTGCACAGTGTCTGCCTGTGCAGCGGTGGATTCTCAAGAGTGCGCAGGCGGTGAAACTGCCCGGGGACCAACGGGTCCGGAGTCGCCGGGATACAAAGAGAGAGGCGGTGGGGGTGAATTTCGGACAGGGCAGAGCGACTAAACCAACACTGCCACACACACACACACCTGTAATGAAATCAAAGGACTCTCATGCCTCCGCACAGTCCATAGAGATCGGGCCCAGCTACAGAGAAGCAGCCTGTAATTGAAATTTCATCATTAGTCGCCAGGACAGGTCCTGTTCTTTGTGCCCTGGCGTTGTGTCCAGGAGCTCGATGCCAGGTGTCGAGGCCTGCTGGCCATAGACTAACACTGCCCCATAGACTCAACACTACCCATAGACTAACACTGCCCATAGACTAACACTGCCCATAGACTAACACTGCCCATAGACTAACACTGCCCATAGACTAACACTGCCCATAGACTCAACACTACCCATAGACTCAACACTACCCATAGACTCAACACTACCCATAGACTCAACACTGCCCATAGACTCAACACTGCCCATAGACTAACACTGCCCATAGACTCAACACTGCCCATAGACTAACACTGCCCATAGACTACCACTGCCCATAGACTCAACACTACCCATAGACTCAACACTGCCCATAGACTCAACACTACCCATAGACTCAACACTGCCCATAGACTCAACACTGCCCATAGACTAACACTGCCCATAGACTAACACTGCCCATAGACTAACACTGCCCATAGACTCAACACTGCCCATAGACTCAACACTGCCCATAGACTCAACACTACCCATAGACTAAACACTGCCCATAGACTAACACTGCCCATAGACTCAACACTGCCCATAGACTCAACACTGCCCATAGACTAACACTGCCCATAGACTAACACTGCCCATAGACTCAACACTGCCCCATAGACTCAACACTACCCATAGACTCAACACTGCCCATAGACTCAACACTGCCCATAGACTAACACTGCACATAGACTAACACTGCCCATAGACTAACACTGCCCATAGACTAACACTGCCCATAGACTAACACTGCCCATAGACTAACACTGCACCATAGACTAACACTGCCCATAGACTCAACACTGCCCATAGACTAACACTGCCCATAGACTCAACACTGCCCCATAGACTCAACACTACCCATAGACTCAACACTGCCCATAGACTCAACACTGCCCATAGACTAACACTGCCCATAGACTAACACTGCCCATAGACTAACACTGCCCATAGACTAACACTGCACCATAGACTAACACTGCCCATAGACTCAACACTGCCCATAGACTCAACACTGCCCATAGACTAACAATGCCCATAGACTAACACTGCCCATAGACTAACACTGTCCATAGACTCAACACTGCCCATAGAGTCAACACTACCCATAGACTAACACTGCCCATAGACTAACACTGCCCATAGACTCAACACTGCCCATAGACTCAACACTGCCCATAGACTCAACACTGTCCATAGACTCAACACTGCCCATAGACTCAACACTGCCCATAGACTCAACACTGCCCATAGACTAACACTGCCCCATAGACTAACACTGCCCCATAGACTAACACTGCCCATAGACTAACACTGCCCATAGATCAACACTACCCATAGACTAACACTGCCCATAGACTAACACTGCCCATAGACTAACACTGCCCCATAGACTAACACTGCTCCATGGACTAACACTACCCATAGACTAACACTGCTCCATAGACTAACACTACCCATAGACTAACACTACCCATAGACTAACACTGCCCATAGACTAACACTGCCCATAGACTAACTCTACCCCATAGACTAACACTACCCATAGACTAACACTGCCCATAGACTAACACTGCCCATAGACTAACATTGCCCATAGACTAACACTGCCCATAGACTAACTCTACCCATAGACTAACACTACCCATAGACTAACACTGCCCATAGACTAACACTGCCCGTAGACTAACACTGCACGTAGACTAACTCTGCCCCATAGACTAACACTGCCCATAGACTAACACTGCCCATAGACTAAAACTGCCCCATAGACTAACACTGCCCATATACTAACACTGCCCCATA